CCCCCCCCCGGTCCCCCCATGTCAAAAAAAGCCCGGTCTAGGTAGGGTTAATTTCAAACTCTCACCTCCAGATATGTGAGGTTGTTCTCCAAGAGCAGCAGATGCTCGAGACCCTCCATCCCAGCAAACGTGCCGTTCTTCAGAGTCTGGACATTGCTCCGCAGATGACCAGGGTAGATACCTGTGGCAACTTAGCAAATGCCCCTACCTCCTATTTGCCGTTAGGTTACAATCCACAAACCACAACCTGCACTTTCTACCACATGGAATCTGAGAGAGGATCTCTGCCTTGTCAGTGCCAAGCTTACCGACGTTGTTCCCAACGATCGTGATGCTGATTCTCGTTTTTGGCGAGGGGTTCTGAGTGGGACCCCCCTGGGTAGGCCTTGTTTCGTTTGAGCAGACCAGACAGGACTGAAGCGCCTGATAGAAAGGTACAGTGTCGAAGGGGCCATTGTAGCTGCTTACTTCACGCGGGTATTTGGTCCACTTGTACCAATACGCTCTAATGTCATACCGGTACTCATGGCCATCACTACCGCTGTCACCTACACCACACTTCGCCACGGACACTTCACGGCAGCTCTGCCAGCTACCTGCGTCCACACATGGCACTAGCAGCTGCATAAGCAGCAACAAAGAGACTTTTGCCATCAGCTTTATCGCCATGATGATAGATCGTTAACACACCATACTATGAATAGCGATGAGCTACAACAGAAGGCTATATTACCATATCTCCATTACCAGAGGATGTTACAAAATGTTACCGTCAGTTTCTCCACGGCTGTAGGGTAACCTGGACAGCACAGAAATCAGCCGTGTTGCAGCCGCAGTGGCGCAACAATGGTCTAATCCCACCCGACCACGCAGTTTATTACAGGTTGTGATTTTAAATAACTCTCCGCTGTATCTAGGACGACATGAAAGAATTGAAGCATTCTTAGTCCAGAGATATTCATAACCCACATGCTTTACGACATTTCTTCTTGAGATAAACAGAAAATGATTATGAACACAGGTCTTTGATCAAAATACACAGTTTTTATAGCAGATACTTTGTCAGAATATATGTTTCTTTAAACTGGAGTCACATTTGAAACGGGGCCTGCTCGGCATGTTCTCCGTGTAGACGCAAATGGACTTTGCACTCTCTATTTACTAGCAGACATTTAGTGGCAAACAGTACGCCAGGTCAAACATGGTTTTCAAGATTTTGTTTCTGGCTCTTGGCCTGTTTTCTGTAATTTTTGTCGTCAGATCTCAGAACGACATCATAGACGTCTTACGAGACTTCCAGGAGTTTAGGACGCTGATACAGCTGATACAGGAGGCCAACCTCACAGACACACTACGGGAAAAAGGTTAGCGTTTGCGTCCGCCATTTTGGAACAATCGTTCTACACACAAGTGAAGGTGTTTTGGTCTCTTATAGAAGAACCTTATAAAGTAAGAAATATAGGGCACTTGTCGTGTATATACTGGTTTGTATATAAATAAACTGGTAAATATCACGTAAGCATGGCATAGGAGAAACTTTACACAGGTTGAACTTATCCACAAAAATCATATGAGAAAAGAGTGTGTGTGTTGAGAATAAAAATCAAGTACATGACTGTAACTTGTTATAGATTCGTTTTAAATTCATAATATAACGGGTGACGTGTGTTTTAATTTATTAAACCTAAAAGGCAGCAAGACAGCTTTACTTAACTCGCCTTTCGTGTGTACGTAGAAACATAGACGATGTTTTCGTTGTTTTTATCCCGTTTATTAGCATCAATCAATAAATGATAAGAATGATTATCTACGTTGAAAATCATTATCTATCTAGGTCCCTTTACTGTATTCGCTCCCGTGGACAAGGCTTTTGCTGAACTACCTGAAGAAGCATGGAAGTCGTTTAAGGATGTCAACCTTCTAAGAAAGGTTAGTAAATTCTTCATGTTTCATCAATTTTCACAGAGCTTTTCTTTAAACTTGACTGGTGTGTTCTAACATTCAAACGTAGATTAGACTTTTTTCCTCTGTTGTAACTACAGTTTATTTTATCAATAACATTTCGGTTGCTTTCAGCTGAATTTATCAGATTGCAATGAGCTCTGCTACTAGATGCCGCAAGGTGGCGTCGTGGAAAGAAGAATGTCGTCCCAAGAGTGACTAAGTCTATCCCCCCTTCCTTTATGTTAAATGCGTCTAGACATTTGTATCAGGATGACCCTCCTAAAATGTTCGTGCCCCCCCCCCATAGAAAATCAATAAATTGCTGAAAGGGCTACCCAGATATATCTATGTTTGGAAGATTAAATGGATGGAAATAATTGCTAACTGTTTCAGGTGATGTCCCTCCATGTGGTACCGGGGAGTATCATGTCGTCAGAACTGAGGAACGAAGTTCTCCTGCGGTCTGCAGAAGGACAGAACATCCGCATCAACGTGTATCAAAACGCCACCGGCGGCAAGGTACGTATCACCATTTAACATACAATACTAAAAGCAGATGCATATTTTTTTTTACATTTTTAGGTTAAGTAGTTAGTGATATTTATTTGAGTGATCATGTCACTTACATTATGGAATAATATTGTTGCACAGAAACATTTACCAATGGAGTCTACGCCACTGCCCCTTTTTATTTTGTATATTATTTGGAAGGTATCTAGTGGTGTGATATGAGTGAATATTCCAGATTTAAATTTTTAGGAAAAAAATCTATATTTTTCAACTCAACTATTTGCATTGGCTAACTAGGCTTCTGTTTCATGATCCCTTTTGTCAAAATTTGTATAATTCATAAACAACAAATATAAATTTAAATCATGTCACACTGTTGCTGATTTAGGCTATCATAAGAACATAAATAGCTATAACGAATATCTTACAGGTTTTGACTGCGGACGGTTGTCCAATCACAAAGACCGACGCAAAGGCCAGCAACGGCGTCATACACGTGATGTCAGAGGTCATGTTTCCGCTTCCGGGGCCAAGCATCACCGAAACCCTCAGCCACATGCAAAACCTCTCGTTCTTATTAACGGCTCTTCAAAAAGCAGATCTCACAGGGACTTTGTCCGGTACGTTGGCAGATTATTATAATATTAATTTGTATTGATTATGTATATTATTTAGTTCACATTGAAGTGTACTTCCTTATCATTTGCCATTTTTATGGTCGACAGGAAGTCCACAGAAAGTCCACTATTGGACTGAACTAACGTCTTTTCATTTTGGACCAATCAGGTGATGACACGTACACATTCTTTGCACCAACCAATGAGGCGTTTGACCAGCTCCCTCCGGCGTATTTGGAAATGCTTCTGACTACCAAGATGGCGCTGTCGGACCTCTTGGAGTTTCACATGTTTTATGATGTATCCTTCCGCCCTGCGTTCTATGACGGTCTACAGATACGTTCCCTACAGGGACCTTTTCTCACATTCAGCGTCAAAGGACCTCCTGGTCCAAGTAAGTATTACCAGTAATATTAGCTGTTATCTTTGGAGCACATGGTTGATCCTCTCAGCCGAAAAGGAGTGATCTCCAATAGAGAGAGGCCATAAAAACACGACTATACAAGGAGTATATAACATAAATAATTATCAAGCATAGAAATACAAGGAATACAAGGAAACACAATTAAATACATATCGAAACACATAGAAATACAATTATCATCAACAATCGGAATTCAAAATCATGCTCCCATCAGCATTATCAATATCAACATGCGATGACAAATAGCCATGATATTGAAAACATGCGTGCTAAGATTTTGTAAAGAATATTATGAAACAAGTTCTTTGCACCAACCAAGGACGTTCTACTGTAGAAAGTCCTTGCACCAACTAACTTGTCGTTGGACTTACCGTTGTTTTCTGCAGCTGCGAAGTACATGGTGAACAACGCCACGTTCCTGGGACTGCAGCAGCCTGCACGGAACGGAGTCATCCACGTCATCGATCACGTCATGATATCCCCTGAACCTTGACCCGGAAGCTTTTGATGCGTCAGCAAGGCAAATACTGAATATGAAAAAGTTTAAGGAATTATTATGTTTACCGAAGGAAAACATGTTGATTTGCTACGTTTCCCCTTTTTCTCCAAACCAAAAAGGTCAATGGCCTGAACCAGACTGGTACCATGCTATCTATTGTTGGGTTACATCATGTTGCAATTTTATAGCAGGAGGGATTTAGACTCCTGTTTGGCCATATATATGACTGTGTTTGAGTAAGAATTAACAGAGCAGACCAGTATGCGAAGGTTAACACTATGCATGTTTTGCAAATGTTATTTCTAGTATTATAACAGATTTTTGCTTGTGTTTTGTAAAGCATTATGTCTGTCTCTAAGATTATCAAATAAAGAAAGACACAAAATTTATAATTTCCTGATGCATTTTTTTATAATTGTAAAGACAATATTGTTAATACTTATCTTAATAGGTTCTTATGCCCTCTTTTTAAATTGCTCATACACACGTGACATCCATTAAACAGAAGTAAAAAATAAATGTTTTCACACTCATATAGTAGCTTAATCGACGATATCAGGTAACTGATCAATCATTAACAACTGATGCGGCGATAGAATATCTGGTTTACGCAAATATATGTTAGCCTACTTTATAACCTTTGATCAGATACAAGCATTGTGGGAGGGGCATCATTGTTTACATCTAGTTATCAGCCACGTGCTTACAGAAAAGTAGAACAAATCACTTCTCCAGCACCGCTAACAGTACCAAGGACACAAGCCGAGCTAGTCACCCTCTACGATTCTCTAACTTTGACGATGAAGTTCCTATTCATACTTTTCCCGCTGCTGTGTGTAGTGAGTGCCAGAGAAGATCATCATGATGTAATCGATGTTATGCGTAATCTTCAGCTAAGGAGTTTGGTACAACTGCTGGAGGTGGCTGATCTTACTCCCAGTTTGGAAGACGCAGGTAAGTGTTTCACGTGTCGACTGGGCCGAGGTGGGATGGCAGGTTTAGTCTGGTAACAACGCCATCGAGAACATCAGCTGGTATTTCTACGGAGTACTGAAGTTATAATTGTCCGATCGCCCAGTTCCATTTAATTTGCGCACGACGGGATAAAAATTAAAGGGGCCGGTTTCCTAGTCATCAGATATACCGGCTGGAAGGATAGGCTGTTAGAAAGAAACCAAGGCTTATTGCATGAGTATACGTTCAATTGGGGCCAGTACAAAAACTCATAAACAACCTTACGACTAAATCACGGCTGTGTTTGGCTTTTTTGATAATGTTACATTTTTATCTGTTTTTCTCAGATTCTTGCACAGTGTTCGCGCCGTCAGACGCTGCCTTTGCTAAGATCCCAGATGACATCAAGAAACAGCTGTTGAGCAACCCCCTTTTCCTGAGGGAGGTTAGTGGTATACTGTACAATTTTTGAAAATTTAAACATCACGTAGGCTTTACATAGTAGAATGTGCAGGGTCATCTTTGCGTAATGAATGTAGTTTCGGAAATATTGCTTTGGGTGGCTGAGCTGTGGGGTTTGTGTAGCTGTTTGTCCAGACAGAGTAGGTTGACAACACGTGGGCGGGGTAGATTGACTGGCAGAATGATTGGAGACAAAAAATGTGACACAGAAAAGGGGTAAACTGGAAGGTCACGAAAACCGCAAAATACTTCCTGGATATCCTGTTCATTTTTTATACTTCTAATACCCTTTGTTAGAAATTTATGTAAATAGATAATAAAACTACTGACTTACTGTCACAGGTTCTGGCGTTCCATGCGAGTCCCAAAGAGTACATGTCAACCGACTTGAAGAACAACCAGCTTCTGGACACACTTTTGAAAGGTTTCGTGATGCGAATCAACATCTACCCATCAACAAATGTACGTATCCAATGCTTTTATCCTAATCTCTTATACATGATAATACTAAGAATTAAGTAAACCACTGGTGTAAACAAACTCATCAGGCGTAACAACGTGGATGGCCTACTTTACATACACGTCACGTGTAAATAAGTAATCAGTACTACTGCGCGATTGTACGAGTTATCAGTGCTATAATACATGACGTTTTGGGATGGTATTTGACCATTTCTCTGAACATGTGCAAGTAAAAAATGCCATTATATACTCTTCAAGCAGAGGTTCAGGCTTTGCCTTATTTTTGGCATGTTAAAGCATAAACTTTCATCGAGGTTTTTTTATAGTACGAGTGACGTATCGAATACTGCCCTAGGCCTGCAAATGCTATTGCCTTACCGATTGCTCACTGTCTTGCAGCCATTAAATGATCTCCTTGGAGATTAATGTTATAACATCTAAAGAAGAAATATTGCATCTCGTGAAGGAGGATAGAACATATTTGGTGAAATATGTTAGAAATTGCTAACATCTAAAAACACAGCACAAAGTAACCGTTTGAAATTCTCGTCACAATCTAGACCATCACAGCAGACGGTTCCCCGGTCAGTAACGCGGACAACAAGGGCAGTAACGGGGTGGTACACGTGGTGGACCAGGTCCTGTACCCTTTTCCCACCGGCACCGTGGACTCAGAGATCAGCCATAACGACAACCTGACCGTCTTGAACACAGCCGTGGAGAAGGCTGATCTTGCAAGTGCTTTAGATGGTAAGAATTTAAGTAATTATTTCTTGAGAAAACTGTGTAAAAATCTCAAGTTTATGCTTTGGTTGTGTACATTGGATACATACTACAGAGTGATGGAAACAAAATACCAATTTTTGCGGATAGGAAATACGGGATAAGGTCAAAATGTCAAAAAATTATCTATCTATATATAACGTTAAATACATGTCGTACAGTTATCTTGACTACGGTGGCCCACAGGGACAAATGTCCACGCTGACAAAAACCACTTCGTCGTTTCGCAGAACATGGCAACAACATGGTTTACGTCATTTTATTGCCATGGAAAAACAATGATAATGAATTGATTTCCAAAAGTGTGATGCGTAGAAACAAAGACTGGTAGCGAGTCTAAAGGTCACAGAGGACAAAACAAAGATGGCGACAACAACATGGTAGGGCCCCAGTGCATGCTGGGAAAGGCTGTGCTGTGGTTACACTATCAGATTATGGTCGTGAGGATTTCATGTTCTTTTTTTCTTCTTGTGCAGGTGAAGGACCTTTCACCCTCTTTGCTCCAACCAACGACGCTTTCAGTAAGCTCCCGAACGGAACCCTGCCCAGTCTTCTGAAAAACGTGACGGCACTGACAGAAGTCCTGACCTATCACGTGGTCAGTGGTGTGTACTACCCGGCCGGCTTGAGCGACGGAGAAAAACTGAAGACCTTACAGAAAGGAAGTCTTGTCTGTCACGTCAATGCTAAACCTGGGTCAGGTATGGTATTATTTATAAGTATAAACGTTAAAATTTATTTCTAAAGAAAGAAATAACAACTGTCAACCATAACCTAACTTGATCTTTATTGATCTGTATTTACATTCTACGGCAAGATGTTTTTATGTTTTTATTGGGTTATTCATTTGATATTATACAAATCCTTGTGTTTTCTTATTGTTGTTTACAGATCCTCAGGTGATGGTAAACAACGCAAACTTTGTCGGACTTCCATTCCCATCAATCAACGGGGTGGTACAAATGATTGACACCGTCCTCATCCCTCCAAAATAGCCTAGTTTTTTAAAAAAAACTTTAGATAGCCTATCAATATCATAATGCGCTTATCGTATGTCAACATTTATCACAGAAATGGCCGGAGTTACTTTTAAAATGTCATCAAGTAAAACACGATCCGATTTGTTGTTTATCTGAATTTTTTGCCTGCGTCTTGTTTAATTACTAGTATCTGTTTTCTTTCGATACATATGTACGCGGATGTATATAATATTTGTAGACATATCGAAGTATGTGTATCAATTTAATGCTGCTCATGAAATATGTGACGATTCGTCATGCATTGTTATGAGCAAGGATTTATTTATATAACCTACGAGATTAATCGTTAACTGGTGAATAGTAAATAACAAGCGCCTTATCTTTTAGTATTCTAATAACCTTTGATACTAATGCCAGTTTGGGGAGGGGGTACCGTTGTTAGTTACGCTAGGATTGCTGCGTCACGGAGATTTTGGAACGAATTCTCCTCTTGATCTTAGACCCCACATAACAAACATTAGGTCAGCTAAAGTGAGTTAATACATTTGAAACAAGGAACTCGTAATGAAACTCAGAATGACAACCGGAGCCGTTAAATGGAATCAGACGTTAAAAATAACTGCTGAAGTACCTCCCCGCATGTGCAAGTCATCCTTATTGTCACTTCCTCCATTTTCCGCCGATTCTTCGTATAAATTGGGGAAGTAAAGGTCTGAATCCGCGGTATTTGTAAGTTAGAAGTCGTAATATACGCCGAAAACAACCAACACAAAGGTTGCGCAACAGTACGTTGACCCCTGACCCATTGGCTAACCAGGAAGTGCCGATTATGTGTCCTGTGAACGCGTACTAAAGTATCCCCCCAGCGGGTCCCACCAGGCACGACGTTGATTGACGGCACATGTGGTTCACATCTGAACAGTTTCAAACAAAGACACCCCTCTGTGTGAAAGGTCAGATCAGTGGTCGCGACCTCAATCGTCCTTATACATGCAAAGGTCAAAAGCTGAGGTCCACTTTCACACTGAAAGGGGTGTCCATCGGCGGTCTAAACGCATCATTTTGACGCACTAAAACACACATACTAAAAAACCAAAACAACGTGCACCATCTACAGCCCAACAGCAAAACGTATACCAAGTCCCAGACATATCCGTCCACCCAAACGCGAGAAACGGGTGCGAACGCAATTTTCGTCTTCCCTCACAAAACCTCCGCGCTCGGGATATACATCCCTACCCGGAGGTAACAACGATGAGGGTCTTTTTCGTTCCAATCCTTCTCTGTTGCTTGGTTTGCGCCCAGAACGACGTGGTTGACGTCATGCATAGCCTCGGTCTACGGACCATGGTGCGGCTACTGGAGGTTGTAAATCTCACTTCCACTCTGCAAGCCAGAGGTGAGGCGTTTACATAGAAATCTATGGGAAGTTGACATTGTATCCAGAATCGTGCTTATTTTTAAATGTAATGTCTGAATGACCAAAGGTTAAGATTAGGCACGGATAGCCTGCGCGAAACCAAGAACGTAGGTTTGTCACATGCACAGAAACAGATCTGGATGCGCGTGAACTATCCAGAATCGTGGCTGAGAATAGTTCTGGATAAAGCATGGCTCTGGACACAACAGTCGAGGCTATCGAAGGCTAAGGTCTTAACTATTTGTAACATACGTTTCTTTATTATATATTAGATTCAGACTATAAAATTATATTACTATAGCAAGCTAAACAGCCAGACTGCTACATTCTATATTTGTGACATCGTGGCATTTTCTTGCAAAATGCTCTTCAGGTCGACTCCTGCATGGAGGAAATTCTACATCTTGTTACAAACAGAGCCTGAATGTAGTTATCGACCCACAAAACTACAGCTGATGATGTATTTGAATCTTATGAAATAAATGTCTTTCTGTGATGTGTATGTACAGAGTCGTGCACGGTGTTTGCACCAACAGATGAGGCGTTTTCTAATCTCCCTGCTGACGTTAGGAAGCAGTTACGAGAGGGCAGACTCTTACTGCTAGAGGTTAGCAACTTAGCTCAGTTGTCTCTAACACGGTAAAAGACATTTAACAGAAAGCCTCTTTTCAAGGCGTCACCTTGCAGGATAGGCTATTATTGCAACTTTTTTGTTTGTTTCTCATAACCGGTAAACCGCCTTTAGGCGAAACACACCAGGTTTATACAGTACGTACAAGTCGCATTCTTTTTCAGTAGTTATTTCCAAACGCATGTTGGAAAAATGACAGGAAGTTAGATCAAAGGATAAGAAAAAGTTATCTTTTTCAGTCTTGAATTTCCTGCTGCGAGCATGTCTGTTGCCTTATACAGGCCAGTAGGAAAATGCAAAATCATACATAGAATAAGGCAGGTACCCTAGATATTTAAAAGAGGTGTGATTTTTTTTGTTCCAGGTACTAATGTTCCATGTAAGCCCCAATACAACCATGTCAACCAGCTGGAAAAACAACTACATCGTGGCGACACTTCTGGAATATTTGTGTTCGATTCGAATCAACATCTATCCATCGACTAGAGTAAGTAAACAGTTTATTAGTGAAGATATGAACTGAAACACTTACCGCATTGCTTATTGAATAGTTTTACTATTTTAGAGATGCCTTTTACCTTTGAATTGCTAGGAGGTGCTTATGAGTTTGCAACCGACAACATATTCTGGCGCCTGAGAGGAGGAAAAGCAATGAACAAATGAAAAAATTTTTTTCTATAAATTCTGTAACTGGAAGCTGGGCGAAGAAATCGAAGAATTTGGTCATTTTTTTTATTTAATTGTCTTCAGACCTGATTTTCTTCACCGATGAAGGCATCTATACCATGTCCTAGCATCCGCCAGGACGTCTAATATGACGAAAGGTCCCACAAAAGGCTACCCAATTTCTTATCTTGAGTTTTTTTTCTGTAATAATTATCTGTCATCACTTCATTGATTAAAGATAGAATATGCTATCTGAAACGTATGACTCCCCAGAGCATTTATCCAGTTGCTTGATTAATTTTTATTTTTTATTTATCTATTTATTCATTTCGCACCAAAAAGATACAATTAGTGAAGTAAATTAAATTAAATTAAAAACACTGTGCAGGAGAGGAAGCAGCCTTAAAAGCTTGTCCTTCTCCTTAAACATAACAAAACAATCACACTTAAACTGATTAACTGAAATACTTAAATGAAAGTCAACTGAAGAGAAAATATCAACAAATCGTACATAAGTAACTATTATGCAGTTAAAATGTTGCATTACGCAAAGGTCACCTGGTTGTCTAACCTTGACCCTGAGATCTCTCCCCCCACCAGGTGATCACAGCTGACGGTAGCGTCATCAGTAACCCTGACAACAGGGCCAGTAACGGGGTGGTTCACGTGATCAATCAGGTCCTGTACCCTCAACCCATCCAATCCATCGCCAAAGAAATAGACAATATCAAACAACTTAAGGAGTTGAGCAGAGTCGTCGAAAAAGCCGGTTTTGGAAGAATATTGAATGGTAGGATTCTTCGTTAAATGTTAACTAAACTAATCTTATATGATTCAATACGTACATGTATATTACTTAAATTTGGAAGGAAATGTAGATGTTTACATATGAATAAGGTTGTACTTTCTGCACAGCATTAACAATTATTGATCAAATCTGTGTATAAAACCTATCAGACGTTCAGCATTTGAAGCACACAAACGTATCTATAATTATTCTAAGATTTTAAGAGTTTGTGTGCAATATATTGGTCTCAGCATACTACATCTTGTGCATGGAATACATTTTTAACTAATAGTTCACTAATAGGGGGAGGGGGTGTGTATATTTCCAATAAAAGTACGGCGTTAAGACAATTCTGTTTTCCCATGCCAGATGCTGGACCCCTCACTTTCTTTGCTCCAACCGACGACGCCTTCCAGAAACTCCCTGACGCTACTTTACAAAACCTTTTGAAGAACGTGACGGCACTAACTGAAGTTCTGTCCTATCACACCGTCAGCGGTGTCTACTACAAGGCTGGCTTAAGCGATGGGCAAGAACTGATGACCTTACAGTCGGGGACACTTGAATGCCACGTCAGGCATACACCGGGCTCTGGTTAGTGAATTGTGCCGAAAAATTAATAGAAATATCATTAATAAAATGAGATATATTTGCGGCCGCTGTCAGGATGACCAATTTCATTTGGCATGCACCGTACACAACAAAGTTCATAAGTGATTGCAAGTTGGTAGCGCCCCCCGTCTTGGTTAAGTAGCCATAAATGGCTATTATATAGCTATTTGGTAATTCCCTTGTATTGTAAGTACATTGGACTCCACCGTAATGTAAATTATGTACCAAAACACTTAGCTAAAGTTTCATTCTAGTGAGTATTAACTGTTAATCTTATCTTGACAGCTTGTTGTATACTTTCATATTTTTTGTAAGTGCTTTTCAACATTTTTATTGACCATCGCATGACAACGTTTTATTTGTGTTTGTCAACAGGGTCGCAGGTGGAAGTAAACGAGGCGAAGATCGTCGGGCTTAGTGTCCCAGCACTGAACGGGGTGATGCATGTGATCGACACAGTCCTCTTTCCTCCAAAGTAGCAAATGGAAACAGATTTTATCTCTTCTAACTGTATTTTGTGCCACATGAATTTAAAGAAAAGGCCATAAATGCTTAAAGCATTATCGAAGTAATAGTACAGAAGATTAAATTGGATTTTATTTCCACATCCTGTCAGTAAACTTTCAGGTGGCTCGATTTTTTTATTCTATGTGTCTACGGTATTGCCGGCACATCGCTTTAAGTTTTATTTTTACACATACATGTATTTACGACATCTGTAACTACAAAAATGCAGCCGGAACAAAAAAAATGATCTACATGTAACCGCAGATCTCAACAGACCACGTACTGGTCATCTTTAGGCGCACCTATAAGCATTGTACAGAAAACGTTAAGCATGATTTAAGCATGCTCGAACATCGTATTTTCGTGAATTACAAGGCTGTTCAACTGATGTAATTCATGTTGCTATTCATGACCATTTGCGTGACGAAATAGCAGAACGAAGTATGGCGAAAAGGCTAGCAGGCGAGGGCAGGCATAACGTAATTGACGTTCCTAAAATCTAACGCGGGAATCGCAAAATTATAACCAAAAACTGAAACTAACCCTGCCCTGTCTGCTGTCCCCTGCTGATTGTGACGAATTTGTTCGAAATGGGAGGTGACGTACAACATCATACTGTTCAAGTAATGCCCGGTTGTTGACAAACAGCCGATGTATGCATCAAGCCGTGTACCCCTATACCCATCGCCTCCCCAGGGCGTTCGACAGAGGGTTCGGCTCGGAGCCAAGAGGTCCCGAGTTGAAATCCTGCCATGGCATGCCTCTGATATTGTGCCCTTGGGAAAGGCATGCGCACTTTACATGAATTTCCTCGCTTAACACAGTTGAAAATATCTGTTGTCCGTTCTTGCGTTTATTTGCGTTGGTGGTAGGCGACATAAACATAAGTTGGAAAAACTTGAATGTGCCGCCGCTATGTTTTGTGGTAAATGTTGTAAAAAAGTTTGGCAGTACCAAAACACTGGCCACAGAGCATCTTATGCAGACTACATGGACTACATGTACGTGACCCTGCTTCGTAATTTAGTCCATAAAGGACGCTTCAACTTGTTTACAGTAAACCGATACCAACACCTGACTTGTATTACTTGAATCCTACACCTTGCATTTCAGTAAGCTGACGTATAGGGAAATGCGCATAAGTAAAAATCCCCCAAAGTGCAGCACTTTCATTTTCAAGTAGAGGGGGAGAAGGGGTGCATATGCGAAATAACAATCATTAGATAATAGGAACGAGTTCCAAATTTAGAATTCTGTTCATTTCATTAAAACCGGTGTCATTCAAAAGCTACGAAAAGCTGACAAAGTCGCTACTCAGCAGTTTACAATAGAGATCTTAAAAAAAAATCGCACCCCTATTTATAAATGGTACAGGTCTTCCATGACACTAAAAGACAGGTGAAGGCAGACTTCAACTATAAGGACAGCCGCAAGACGTTTGGACGGAGAGAAGAATCACAGGTAAGAACTTTTCTGTAATTAGTTAAGATATCTTTATATATAAGGAGGGCGGAAGACAATTAAGAATATATTCAAAATACTATTTCAAGTTTTGTTGATCACCTTTTGAGTAGTTCTTTCATTTTTTTCTACGAGAATGATAAACTTTTTGAATTTTGACAAACTTTTACAACATCCATGCCCATTTTGGTGTAGAAGATTTTGATTTAAAACATTAACGATCACGCAATAGTAAATAGCCCGGCGTTGAAGTATCTACTTGTATGAAGAAGGTAACTTTTCTTACAAGAGATAAGCGTCAAAATCAATGCTAAGGTAAAAAAGGGAAGTCATGTGTGCGTTGGGCTCAGCCTATTTCCTGAAATACAATTCTGACTATTAGTAACTTTTAGAACGTCCTTTGCCAACCCAATTTGCAGTGGAATTGCAGATTTTAATTCAATTTTAACGATCATATGCATATGTAATAGTACTTTTCTTTTCCTTGCGTGAGAAAAGCATCAAAGTCAGTGCTAAGGTAAAAAGGGGAAGTCATATGTACGTTGGGTTTCGCATATTTCCTTAATACACAAAGCTTCAAGCTCTTGTGACGAATAGAAAAGAGTGCTGCCATCCGATAATTTTGAAATTTACCCTAGATTCTTTAGATTGGCTACTAGATTCTCGTACGCTTAGAAAAGTGTGAAAACTAAAGTGACTGCACAGGACTTCTATGATTTCCGTCATACGCGTATTGCCATCTTGAAGAGTTTTCAGGATAAATTTCAGCTTCTTTAAAATTCTTTCCTTTTAAAGAAGGTTCGGTTTATTTATCGCAGTATCCAATACCTGATTTAGTAAGAGCTTAAACCGAGAGTACTGTATTTTGTGAAACGTTGCATTTGTGGCGCAGATGTTTTTACCGATGACCGTCATGGCGGTTGACCGAACTTATTTTTCACAAAGTTTTACTTCCTTTTCGTGGAAACGCTTTCGCCTAAGTACGCGTCGAGAATATAAACATCTCTTGACATGCTCTTCTGACCGTAAACGGTCCGTGGGTCAATCTGTAGCTATAACACCTTGTAAGACGACGCCTATGTAAACATTTGAGAACTATCGATGAATGAACCGTAACGGTAACATAACAAGTGAGCATTTGAGCACAACAAAATGTCTTTGTTCTCAGGCTAAGGGAGAACCAAAGCAGTGCCTGAAGTAAATGAGTTATATATATTCGATTATATCTCAAAACGTAGAATACAGAAGACAACTTCCCTGTTTTCAATGTCAAGAAAATTTAATTTAGAGTTTCTTTCAAGTTCGCGAGTCTTGAAAATGACTTTATAACGTATTACTTGTCTAGGACCACAACACGGGGGGATTATGCATCGTATTACCAATATGTTCTTGCTACTTACCAACAACAATTTGGCGGGTGAAAAAGAAAAAGCCCCGACTACACCCAGAAAGACAACCTTAAATTATTTTCATGTTGTAAATTGAAACTCGCATACTTTTTGTACTTTCAAATAAACACACACACACACACACACACACACACACAAAAGTTTTATCAATAAACAAAACAAACAAAATATATCAATATTTAATATTCATATAGCCTGACATCACAAAGGGACAATCATGAGCCCGAAGTTCCTGCTCTGTCTTCTCATCATTTCTGCACTTCTCGTCGTCAGTGGTGAGTTTCGAGACTCTCTGATCTGTTAACAATTACCTGATATATCAATATGCGGTTGACGGGTAAAATACAACTCATGCAACGTAACGTTAACGGAGTATAATGCATTTTGAGGGCTCATTTTATGTTATGTACATTTAACGATGCCATTTATGTATCGCTAGCTGAAGGAAAACATTTTGTTTTTGCTAAGTTTCTTCTTATTTCTCAAGCCAAGCGACAAATACGAAATATGAAGATGCGTCCATATATATGTACTGTGAATAACATATTTTTTGGGTAAAAAAAATACTGATTGATATAATACACTACTGATACGTCTTTGTTTAGATGGCTGGCGTAGACGTCGCCGAAGGACACCGCCAGGTCCGCCCGGCCCGCCCGGCCCCAGGGGCTATACAGGCCCGCCTGGCCGGACTGGTCCTCCCGGCACGAGAGGGTACCGGGGGTACCCTGGCCCTACTGGTGGAAGAGGCCTTCCAGGCCCACCCGGTCCGAGGGGATATCCTGGTCCAAAAGGCCAAAAGGGCTCCATGGGCTTCCGTGGCCTGGTGGGGCCCCCGGGTGCAAAAGGCTCGACGGGGCTTCGTGGTCCGCCCGGTCGTACTGGAAGTCCGGTAAGATAATTTTCGATGTTTAAAAGCTGCATTATATAACATTGCGATGCTACAAAACGTACATTTCCAATCATATCTGTACAAAGCAGGTTCCATAAACTCTACCCCGTTACGTTGCAAATGAGTGCAATGGAGGAAGTGGAGGTGATAAAGATATGACGCCTTACAGGTGCATTTAGATACACAGCTGTCAGCCATGTTTGTATGCATTTGGGTATTTTGTGGAGGCACCGCAGAATACCAAATGAATGAACAAATTAATTGATTAATACTTTTATGTTTCCTGTGATTACTGTAGTATTTCTTCACGGTATGGTGTTGGGGCCTATCAAATGTTCCTTTCATACTGATCTTTCTGTTGTCGCCCCCCCCCCCCCCAGGGTAGTAAAGGTGAACGTGGACTTCCTGGACCACAGGGACCCGTCGGTTCTCCTGGGCAAAATGGCGTTAAAGGTAATCGTCTTGTATATCTACATGGAATGTGACATTACTTTGTATGCCCATTGGTTAAATGTTGTCCTTTCCATACAACGACATCTAGCGACGTTCAGTAGAAATATAGCTGTCTCATGCATATGTATGGCGTTGCAGGCGATCCAGGACCAGTCGGCTTAAAGGGTGACCAGGGTATCATCGGCCCTATCGGACCGAAAGGTAATAAGAGATCATAAGATCAACACCTGTATTTGACCCTTACCTGCCTATTTTCTACTAGTGTAAATACTACTGTTAACTCCCGAAGTCTGAAAAAATACGGTCGGTCTTGCAGAATGTTGACTTTGTAAAACCACTTTTAAAAGCTTTATCTTAATCTTGCAAAAAGTCTCGTCCTTTGCACACACAAAACCAGTTGTTTATGTCCTCTTCTTTATTATCATTTTCTTTCCTTACGTTTTTGTGAACCGGATAACTTATTACTAACGGATGCGCAGTCGTTCATCACTCCAAGCAATGATGCCAGAAGAAGAAACATAAGAAGAGGAACCAGAAAAGTGTAAAAAGATGGTCCACTAACCTAGGCACATGAGTCGAGCAGAGCGCCAAATAAACATCAGGCTGCAGTTTTGATCTATTTTCTTTTTAGAAATAATGAATTGAAGTAACGTACAACAATTTTTACAGGAATGATTGGACCGGTGGGCCCTATAGGACCAGTGGGACCAAAGGGTGATTGCAGTATTGGTCCAATCGGACCCCAAGGTGAATATACATTGACTGCTAACTAAAGGTGATTTGCGTGCTGTATACATGTACATCGCATTGCATATACCTCATGGTCATATCTTCACATCATGTGGTCATGAATAATATGTGCGTCGCCATGACTTGTGTATTGTTTGGAGTTAGAAAAAATGTGTTGTTTTTTTTAAGTCAGCTGAACACATCTTGATCCTAACCCTGTCTCACCTAAATACACCATTATTTTAATTTTCCTTTATCCCTTTGTGCACTACACTCCATTAGGACCAAAAGGCGAAGTCGGTCAGAAGGGAGAAATTGGACAGAAAGGCGAGGTTGGGCTTAAGGGAGAGTTTGGACAGAAGGGAGAGCCAGGTAAACATGAAATCTGTCTACATCTCATTTTTTTACTTCATTTATTTCATTAGGAAATAAGTAAAAACGCAGGTGCAGGATATTCCCCTCCCTTGTTTTCTTTCAATATTGTGCGTATATATAACACAAAGGATGCATATCTATCAGGTTATTCAAATGTTGGAAATGCACTGATAATCTCTTTAAGTAAGTGTAACTTAAATTGAATTGTTTTATGCACATCAATTCAACCTCCTTGATGCAATAGAGCTCTTTCTAAATGCGGGTGCAATATTGACATGTACTCACGCTAGAGCTCACACATCCTAACATCAGTAACATTATCATTATCATACTATTCAACTAAGTCGGCGAATTATTTGTTAGCGGTGATGATAAATTCTGGGTATAGAGGTGACCGCGAAAACCGTGAATATAAAAGTAAAATCGTGAATTTCAGTATGTATGGTTTCTTTCCCCCACACAGGCGCAGGGTCTGTCATCATTCTCTTCCCCGTCAGTCTGGACGGTGGGCAGCCAACATCCGGGACCGGGCTCTTTCAACCAGGTAAAGAAGGGGCATATATAGAGCGAATTTATTAAAGGAATCCAATGCAATTTCAGGGTAAGAAAAGTGGATTTCAAATTCAATTTTCTGGTCTTTTTTAATGCAGTAAGTTGAATCAATCCTGTGTATCTCATATCATGCTGATATCTGTGAGGCAAAATTTGATGTCGCTAACGAAAATTTCCGGTTCTAGCTATTTATGGGTGGTACCCAAAAGTAAAGCTAGAGACGCCTGCAATGCAGTATCAAAATCGGCAAGACAGAATCACATTGGTCCAATACGCCACCCAATGAGTAGGCCAATTGTTACAGGCGACCAACCAATATAAACTCCCCTTGCCCCAGAGAATCTGCTTCGAAATTAGATACATCTAGTTGGTCCAATACTAAATCGCCTATAATTAAATACCTGATTTGTTCTTTACCATGAATGCTTGTTTATACTACAGGGCATCTCCCGCACCGGTCCATGACGGTTGTCTTGATCACCATCCACAGTCAGACGGACTCCTTGCCGTCCTGTCTGGACCACCAGACTCCCCTGTACCAGGGCTTCAGTCTGGTGCAGCTGGGCGGAAACACTATCACAGGGAACCAAGATCTAGGTTTGTCATCACCATTCGTATCATCCTTTTTCTTCCGGGAACGGATGTACTGTTTTGGGTGGAAGTGATTTTATTTCATTTGTTTCATGTGCAAGTCTCGTTGTGCGTCGTTTTAGTCATAGTTTTTGTTTTATATCTATTAATACAATGTATCTAACTGTTTACAAACACTATTCATCAACAACTGACATTAAGTATTGTTAAAAGGTTAACAGGAAAAAGCCTTTACACAGCTATTATAATACCATTGTCTTTTGAAATCCAGTGATTTTTCGCAACTCCTCAGGGGTGGAGCTGATTTAAACATAAGCCTGGAGTGTTGTTAATTTTTCTTGTCCAATAGGTTCCCTGGGCTCGTGCCTGGTACGGTTCAGCACGTCTCCCGTCATGTCCTGCACGGCTCGTAACGTCTGTGAGAACCGCACGGTGGAAGTCAGCACATCATGGCTGTCCTCTGGTAAGTACGGTTTCTTCTATTCATATATCTGTTAGATAGCCTGGGTACCATCCTCCTCTTGTGCCCAGCGACATTAGGGAGCGGGCGGAAACTCCGGAGGATGATGGCACCCGGGTTATCTGTTAGAGGGTTGCACCAAATTTCTTCTCTGCAAGATTTTTGTAGCCTCTACCAGGAAAAGCGGGCCGGCAAACTGTTGTCTTGGCGCGGACCAACCCCAACTGAATAAGCCTATTCGCCATTACCGGCGCGAAATGCATGATGGGTAATATCCGCCATTTTGAGAGATAAACAAAACCGCGTCGCCCCGCGACACAGCGAGCGCGGGTGTCGAATCCCGCTACGTAGCTAAAAAAAATGAGTTTACCCGGGCCGTAAGTGGAGATTTTATATCTTATTGGACGGCAAAGATGACAGACGTTTCTTGGTTGAGGTTAGACTGCCGGTAACTGCCGGTTTTCAAGGCGTTTCCGCGAGTCACGTCCAGGGGGAAAAGCCTACAACTTCAAGGCGCATACAACTTCGTATGCTTAAAAGAATCACGACGCGGTTGCCGAATTCGCCGAAGACAGCAGCAGGTTCAGTTGTGAATGTCAAGAATTATAGTCAAGAATGAAAAAACTCACCTATTCTCGGCCCGGTGGGCTTCACGGAAGGGTAGTTCGTCGAACCGAAGGACGACGTCAAAGGATGCCCCTCCCCCCGCACTTAAAAATCGGCCCAGCACTGATCATGAGTTTAGCGAGCCGGCCGTGCCTCCCATACTACGTAAACGGCTGTCGGGCGACTATGATGAGGAGAAAACATACTCCTACTTCGACTTTGAATGGGTAAGCGAAGTCCCTTACCACCATATTACCCCAACTGCAGACAGAAATTGCTTCCTCAAACGACTAGGCACATCTTACCTCCTTAGTCCACACTGTCTTGGCCGCGGAGACGAACTTGTCCACAGACCCAGGATACAGAACCCAAGACATAACAGTAGTATTCAAGCAACCATGGCATTAATTTTCTTTGAAGAACCTTGTGTTTAGTAAAGGATTGTTGCATGTTGCCAGTAATACTTGTGTTAGTGTACAGGTCTTTCTCAACATATATGGCATTGTATATTTAATATTATATTTCCTATGCACCATTCATTAAGTGCTGTCCACATATAGAGAGATATGGGAATAAGAAAAATATCAAAATGGTGCTTGTTTTGTTTTCTTTATAGTATATACATGTATGTAACAGTACAATCAGTGTCCAGGGAAATAGTAATTGAAAGGTTATCTGAGTTGGTAAGTTACATATTTTATTTGAAAAAGACTGTTCTCCAACTCAAGAAATTTGAGTTTTCAACTATATCTGTCTTCATCAACTATCTGAGCCAAGTGCTGTGGCATTATATTTTCTACATCACTTTGATTGCAGAGCTGTTTGTGTGTTAACACAGTAAGTTTATGTTTAACGGTGCTTGTATGTTTTCTATCACAGTGTGAATGTTTACAGTAATCTAGTAATCGCCATCGTACAACCTATGCTGTCTAGCAAATATTATTTAGATTTAGACAATAAACCGGATAGTGAATGTGAGTGAGTATGTAGTACTGTCGATGCAGTTAACTGACTTCTTTTTCTTGTGTTTGGTCAGGAAAACAACAAGAGAGTAGTTACAAATTAAATATTCCACTTTCAAGATCCAAACGCAGGGGTCAGGTGTTTGGTGTAAGTAGTGTAAATGACTGGAGTTCTCTACATACACCTGATCTTATGGTCAACAGTCAGTGGAAAAGATCTAAACTTAAGTACTAGTACTTAGACCATCACTGGGAGCACCTATGGTGCAGGCACGAAGGAGTCAACTACACCAGTTCACCACAGCTTTCTCAACTGCATGCGGAAAAAGGTATCTTAAGTGGTAAATATAATGTTAATGACTTGACATCATGTTCAAATATATTATTTTCCACTAATTCAAGTTAATAAGTGAAAAGATAATCATATTGAATCTATTTACAGCAGACCCTTGTTAGACTAAAAGTCTGTACCAGTTTAGCAGTATTACTGCACAGAACTATCAAAATTCAGTACATAAAATATCTGTCATGATTACAATTTGCAGCACTGTTTATGTGCGGGTTACAATATACTTTCATGTAACCATTTCAGAACCTAAGTGTACTTGTATTTTTAGTATATTCCATCTGGGTTTGGCTTCAAGCTTGTTCATAAGTTTATTCCCTCTTCTCCTAGCATGAGGTTTTTTTCTTCTCATAGGAAAATGGTCCACTTTTTGTACCATGTATTTGGCATGTCTCTTCCATTTTTCTAGATGGTAAGTTGAATTGCTGCAATTCACTACTGCACACAGCTTCATGTTGAGGTCGGGAAAGTAACACTGTAAAAAGAAGAAGAGAGAAAAATTGAACCAAAAGTTGATGGATTTACGTTCAAAACATCAAGTCTTGAATGCACTAATGCAATGGCATTTGCATGCACAAAACCCCCATGGCCCTACGTATCCCGCTACGAAAACCACACTAAATATTTATAAACATATAGATGTCATCACTGCTTGTACTATTCCTAAATCATTATTTTAATCGGTAATAATGTCGTGGTGAGACGGTGAGGATTGTGGTTAGAAAGCTCTATGTGCTTGGGGTGACACAAGAACACGTAGTGTATCGGTCTTCTGAAGACAAAGCTCATGCAGTTTATTTACAATTTTTACCGACTAAAACTGAAAAATTCCACCATTATCTTACACAAATAACCACTCTTACACGAAAAAAGGTATTCCAAAACTCGTTTTATCGAGATTGGCCCGGAAAATTGAGCGGAAAACGTGAAGACGGAAGGCGTGCAGGATGGGGGAGGGGGGCATGCATAAGTAATTAGGCGCTAGCGCTAGCTTGGATACCGTCAAAAAACGTACCGTAAATCCACTTGAAGATAAAGATATCGCGATATTTTAGGCAAGATAGGTCCAGAACATCGTTGGAACTCAGCCCAAGGCGGGCCACCACCGGTAACGCCGTGTGTAAGCTGGAAATCGAGACATACGCTGGCGCTGGGGACGATTGCGGCCGCGGGTTTGTTTATCTCCAATTCTACGTCGCTAAGTAAACTCCGCGCAGGCGCACTAGTAATGGCGAATAGGCTTATAGTTCCATTGAGCAACACCGTTAAAATCATAAAGGGGGCAAAACTCTTGCAACAGTCTATTGGTCGCTAGAAAATTCAAGCCGTAACGTCTTGCCGCAGGAATCCATCCGCCGACAGTTGGACAGGACCAGAGCGACGACGCCAGAGCGCGGGCGGTGGGCCGGTGTGTGGTGTGCCAGACTCACGTGGCCGTGGAACAACAGGCCATCCACAGTCAGACCGGCACCATACCGGACTGTAGCCCGGGGTGGATCAGTCTGTGGACTGGGTACAGTTTTGTCATGGTGAGTACTTTGATTACATCAGGCATTCCAGGCATAAGATGTGTTAGTACGATTCCAGCAACGAGAGTTATCTACCATACATACTAGTAATTTGTGACCCTAGCATGTCCAGATCATGAGATCAAAACCAGAAGTAGCACTAGAACTGCAGTACCAGGGGGACCAACATCTAATTATCTCAAGGTCTCATGGCAATATCAAGACAATCCAGTCCATCTAAACCTTCTCGATTCATCGTGTTGACAGGCAGATTTGAAAAAAAATAGTTCGTAACATTAACCAAGCAAGGACATTTTATAAACGTTGAGACTGTCAGTTAATGCATGCATGTTTTATAAACGTCCTTGCATTAACTGACAGTCTCAACTGCAACATCATCAACACATCTATTTTCAATATCCCATCCAGCACTCTGCCGATGGCGGTGCGGGCGGAACGTTCATCAGCAGCCCGGGAAGCTGCCTGCCTGTGTACCGTGAGAAGCCGCTGGTCACCTGTAACAGCAGCCAGGGCTGTGAGGAGCCCGAGGACCAGTCATCCCTCTGGCTTCAGGCTTCCGGATCCGACGGGTCTTCCGGATCCAGCAGGTCTTCCGACTCCTCCAGCGGGACGTCCGGCTCCTCCGTCGGGATTTCCGGCTCCAGCGGGTCCGGATCAGCCATCAGCCGCTGTAGGGTTTGCCAGTACAATGGCGACTAAACAGTGTACCAGTAGATCGATCCGTTAGCTGCATCTGACCAACTCTGAAGTACAGAGGCAAAATAGAAATTAGAGTGGTGACATCTGCATAATGTTTACCTTCCCATTCCTTAGCTTGGTCAGTACTAATAGATTTAACATTGGATACTAGTATTGTATATGCATGTACTAACTACCGAACAACGGAAACTAACCAATAGCCAGGAATCTGCATGCTTGATGTTATAGAGCATTTAGAACATATAGACTAAAAGGGTATATAAAGTCTTTAAACTGAAAACAGGATGTAGTACAAAGTCTCCAACAATAACCAGTGCAGACATAATTTTTAAAGAAGCCATTTTTCAAATGACAAGCTACATGTTAATGTGTTTTCTTTATTTCCGTGCCTGAATGTATTGCAGTAACGTTATAGAACATTGTTTCAAATGAAACTATCGAAGGCCTGTACTAGTAGTCAGAATGATAACTGAACACTTTTGGTTAAGGATTCTTCTCTGTGTAGCTTAAACAACTATCATGAACTGTTAGATTTATAGTTTGCATAACTTCCAAACAAATAATAAGCATGGCTGGACAATACTTGTGTCCCAGTCATTCCACATGGACTACTAGGATAATGAACGTTAATATGATAATAAGACATTACTTTGCCATTGTTTCTAACTAGAAAAACATTTATATCATATCCAAGACAATTATAAAGATCATTGCACATTACTTAATTCAGCGAGTTTCTGGTCATATGAAAAATAATATCACATAATCATATCATACATACAAGATTTACACATTTTACATAGTATGTAAGTCTATAATGTAATTGCAAAAAATATTTGGCATTGGTTAATAAGACATGTACATATAGCAAATGAAATGGTTGAATAGTAAACTAGACAGAAAACAACATTTACGGTCTGTAACTTTGAAAGGTCAAGGTAAGTACTATTTGTTGCACTCTCTGCCCTAGTCAAAACATTGTGTGACATCAGCAGTTCCTGTGAGTGACATCATCGACTTCTGTGCACACGATTTACATATACTTCAATACTAAGTACATGTCTAACACATAGATTATATATATCAGGATGACTTTGGATAATAAATTGAGATGCATATCAAGATGAATATGCATTCTGTGATGAATATAGCCACTGCTAGGACCTCTGTTCTCTCTTCCAAACTATCACCATACCCTGTAGGGAAATAAATTAAAACAAGCATGAGAAATTTCATATATGAAACTAGACACTATTAAGAATAAAAGCCTTGTAAATTTTACTTCCAAAATTGACTAAGACATAAAAGAATGTCAAAACAGTGTCATTAATAAGTAAACTTCTGTAGCAGGTTTTATACATAAGGGAAATACATAATAACTGACTACTAGTACATATAAATAAAAAAAAGCCTGCAACATCAAAGGTTGAAAACTACCTGTATAACAATATTTTAACAAAGCATGCTGTTTGGATAAAAAAAAGGCAATATAAACTTCTGAATATAATACTTAACCCTTGTCGTGCAGAGCTTAAAACAGTAAAATTCAAAAACAAGAGCTTGTACCTCAGAATCTGCAGAGGCTAGCAGACTCTCATCATAGTTGAAGCTGACATCTATAACCGGAGCAGAGTGGCCCTGGAGTTTATTCACCACTGGTTTGTTGGTTCTCTCCACGTCAAAGAAGTACACACACATGTCCTCACTTCCACTGACTGGTGGGAAGAAAGGTCATTGTGAAAAATGACTTTCAACAAAATTAGCATTAAGACAAGTTGCATCAGAATAAGTACATGTATATCAGAATGATCCTTAAACACAGTACATGTAACTACAAAACCTGCTGTGGTGGTGGTTAGTTTTGTACTTCAAACACCATGTTGAGTTAATCATATAAGACATGACATGCAGACATTATTTAAAGATATCAAAGAAAAAAAATCCCTACTGCACTTCCGAAAATAGTTTCATCAGGTTGGAAAAGTATAAGATACAGGGGTTTTCCGTACCAACACATGCCCCTTGTCTGAAGGACATGAGAGGACAGAAGCCGCTGCGGATCCGCAGGTTTCTCTGTTTGATGGGAAACTTTCTCTTCAGCTGCAGACTGCCTTCTACCCCCGACACCCTGTGTAAGAAAAACAGAAGAAGTTACAAATACATGTACAAGGTAAAAATATAATGGTAACTGTAATTGGTTTGTGTGGTGCATTTGACTCTTTGAGCTACAGTTGCTACAAAAAATATACTAATACACATTGTAGGAATTCCAGAATAGAGTGAGCCTGTTCACAGTTCCAAGAGCACATGAGCAGTCCTGAGTCAATGTTGTTTAAGGTCCTTGGAAACTCTTCAGAGGGAGTATAGTATGTACATGCCAAGGGCCTTAAACTTGGTCATCAGACTACACATGGCACACTTTGAACTGTGAAATGGTCGTGAGATTATGAAAGTTGTATGATCATCAATTGTGAAAAATCTATAATTTTTTTCACCTTAATTATGTTTACAGTGATTTTTTTAAAATCATGGCTGCATGTGTTTGATTATTTCTTGTGATATTGAGATTCCTGTTGATTGCTTCAGCAGTGTGGCTCCTTCTATCACACAACTTTACCTTGAGGCATATTCCTGTAGTCTGTTGACTAATGGGGAGCCTGGATGTGGTTTTCTGGTGGGATAACTCAAGAAAAAATAACATGCAAAAGTCAAAGTACAGAAACGGCAACCTTTTTGTCATATTTGATCAGTGATTTCGTTTAACTACAACCTGATTTATTGGAATGAATTCTGTATTGATTTGAAAATCAGTAATTTGAAGTACATATTTGATTGTCTTGTATTTATTGAAAAATATATCTGATTGATAATTTGCTGTTGGAATACATGTAACTGAATTAAGGGTTAGGATTTCATTTTAATTATTTTGTGCTGGAAAATTTTACCATGATAAAGAGAAAAGAAAATTTTCAGAAGGTAGTGAATTCTAAATAGTACATGTATGTGCATGAAAATGCCCAAAAATTCAAACTTGATTGAAAGATGTCTCTTCCAATTTAAGAGTGCAGGGGGGACATGCTTTCATCATTTTACTAGGCAGTTAGGCAACATTGAGTTAAAACTAGCAAGAGCCATGGATTTTACGTATTCAAAAGACTGTAAAAGAGGCAACTTTTATGGAAGTGCTTTGGAACTGGTTGTTTCATCTTGGTTCACTGAAAACTATGAGAAACATTGTACATGCATCAATTGTGAAGTACTAGTACATCTGCAGCTGCAGTACATACCTGTACAGACAGAGGGCGTTTGCTCCACAGTTGATGAGCAGCGAGGGATCGCGTGCTTCACGACTCATCCAGGAGCGAGCAGATATACAGGTGATGGGGTGCCCCTCACACACGACCAGCCGCTGGGCACGGGACAACTTCCCCGTCCCAACGTCAAACGCAAAGGAGTAGACACAGCCCTGCAGAAAAGGGAAAGAGTATTGTAAATCACTGAGGTAGAAAAAGTTTGGGGGTTGAGAAAAATGGACATGTTGTGGTGGTGGTGGTGGCAAATGCAGAAGAAAGTTGGTGGATTATTTGGAAAGTCAGAATTTTTTTACATACAAAAACTTCAAGTGATAGTACAAACATTTTCATCTCCTATCCAGAGTGTCTTCCCTCCTGAGTCAAATGTGATAGTGAGGATGGACCCTGATGCCTTACTGCTGCCTCCTTTCACGTATTTCCCAGTGGAGAAGTTTAAAACATGGACAAAACCTTTCTTGTTCCCAGTCTGGAGTGACAATTAAGGTGTAGAATTTTTGCCTCAAACCCAAAATATACCCAAAATTCAACCAAGTGTATACATAGAAATACACAACTACATGTAGTTGTCTAATATGTTACAAGAAGGAGGATCTTGATATTTAAATCCCTTGGTTACAAACATATGTAATAATCTATTAAGCATTTTCACGCTGGCTCACATAAGGCAACAGACATGCTTTCAATAGAAAACAATAGACAGGAAAAGGGATAACATTTCCTTAAACCTTTGACTTAACTTCCTGTCAATGTCAAAAACTTCTGTTCAGGAAGGTAAAGAAAACAGCATAATATACAGGTACATGCTGTTATCATTATTGAAATTTAATATGGTGTTACAAAGGATAGTGAGTGAGTGAGTGACAAAGGATACAACGATCATGTTGTTGTTGACAGGCTGAAAAGCGCAGGACATGATCTCAGCCCCGTCACAGTCCCCGACTACACGCAGACATGTTCCCGTTGGCACCTGCCACAGCCGCACTGTACCGTCCAGCGAACATGACACTATCACGTCATTGGACAGCGACCAGGAAAAATCTGTTGGGAGACAAAAAATGTAAACGTCATAGCCACATACTATGTCCTAAACTGAAGTCTTTGAAAATTCACTTAGAAGCATCCAATGGAACTTCAATGTGGCAAATCCACATGGCAGGGAAACAGAATAACAACATGTCCAACAGGCTTTCAAGGATCAGTACTGTGGGTGCCTTTGGGGCCATAGGCAAGGCAACCGCACAAAGCCCACTCAACAAAACAACAGAAACTTGCAATTGGGAACAAAACAGAAGGACAAAGGCTGCATCACTCTCCTGTACATCAAGACTGTCCCAGAACCCCTCAGAACTAGTACTGCAACAGTTTCTCATACTATCGTGGCACCGGTACCGGAGGATAAAACCAAAGAATACTTTCTTATATTTTTATTAATTAGCATAATACAATTGTGTCTCCCCACCTGTAACACCTGACGTGTGCCCTTTGAGTACACACAGGACCGTGGCAGGTTCTGGGATGACCTGACACACAGACAGGGTGCCGTCCAGCGAGCAACAGGCCAGACGAGCTTTGTCATCGTTGGCAAACTTCACCGCCATAACTACAGGAAAGCAAAAACACACCAACATTACTCAACATTATGTAAAACGACAAAAGTCACTGATCATAGTGACATGGCTGCTACATGTACTAACTGTTTATTTATTTATAAGAAATAAACTTTCAATGTTCAAGTTAAACTTTATTGTACTCTGATGGTAGTTCAGTTTATTTTCAGTGAACTATTTAAGTGTACAAATTAAAGGAAGCACTAAAGTTGGGAGGGTTATCTTCCCATGTGTATAGTACATGTTGTATACATTAAATTTTGTAGAATGTAAAAATTAATTCACCTGCTTCTGAGTGTTGATCAAAAATATGATGCATCCCTGCAAAGGCGTAGTTTTCATCCAGAGTCTTGTCACCAACCATGGCTCTGTGGAACAGACAGAAGTTTTGTCCTTAATATTATTACTCCGTGAAGGAGGTCAGGACCTCCGGACGGAGTGTTGTGATCGGCTGATTTTTCATGTTCGCAGTCAAAACACTGGGTTCTCTTTGTGTAATCGGCACGCAATTTTATACGCCGTCTGCGAGCATGCCCGTGTTGATGCACGAATGTGTATTTTTGCCGTTGCTGCTTTCGCGGTCAATGTAATATCGCAGACGCACCCCTACAATTACGAGGCGAATTGGAATGGTCCAGAAAAACGCGTTGTTTGGAATAGCAGTGGGGTTCAAAAAAGTTCATGCAGATACGGGTTGGTTTTGATAAGTGGTTCCAGATGTTTTTGCCCATGGTTAAGAGATGCCAAGTTTTTTGGAAGATGTTCGCAGCCAAAACGCATTCTTCCGTACGTCGCATTTCTGTGTAATTTCGCATGTGGTGTTGCATTATGTCCGGGATGATGCACGTCTTTTTATTTTTACCGTAGCTGTTTTGATATTGGAGTAAATGGTTATTTTCGAAACATCCCCATTTCTTTGAAATGGTTTCGTCCGTTTATGCAACTGTTACTGCGCTAATGACGACCAGTCGCGCTGTCCTGATACACCGCGAATGTGCGAGTGTTCCCTGTAGACAGTCCCGGGAGTCTATTTTTTTCGCACATTCCAGGAGCCAAACCAAAATACGTTCATGAACCGAGTCCAAAAAACCGAAACATGAAAATCGGATGATCGGACCTGATGTACATTTCTCTTTCTGTAGATTGTACACACAATACATACATCTTTAGATAATCTGGCCATGGCAGGTAAAAAAAGTAACCCTGAATCATACTAGATTAGCGTAAATGCATGTTTATGCGTTCAAAACAAGAAAAGAATTTGTTTCTCGGTATTAATCTCTTGAAACACGGCGCTGAATATTGACGCAAAAATATTTCGGGCATCGCGCGCCCTTCCCCAAATCCCGCGTCACGTGTCGGCATTTCGCATCTCTGATTGGTTGTTGCGACTTAAGATGACTGAGCCGACGCGCGTTTAAACAATTTTTCTTTGTTCGATTTATTTTCTTCACAGAGAATTGTCGCCAATGGCTACTTCTTTTTGTTGCAATATATAATACTTCACGGAGAATTGTCGCCTATGGCTTCTTGTTTTATTTTCTGCTTGAATGATTTACATGTTTTTGGCCTATAGTGTTCTTACATTGATCTAGTATTTGAAGTCCATGTAGGTGTCTGTGCATGTCAACGGATCGTACATGAAGAATACATGTAACGTTACTAGTATATATTACATACAAGCATGTAAAACACAGTTACCTGCTGGCCTCCGCGGCCCGTGTCGGTACCAGTCCGTCCTCTGTGGGAGACGGGAGTGAGAACTTGCCCGACCCAGAGCTGTGGTAGCGCCGGTGGCCGCGAAAGTCCCCTTCCTGTACGTGTGAATCAAAACTCTAAATCAGTAAACACCATAGCCTATCAAATACAGCCTACTATTATGAGGCTTTGGGCTGATCATATGATCTAGAATTCTAGGTCCTAGAATTCAGTGTATAAATCCAAACCGCTGCAAGCAAATGAACCTTCAGAATACAATAGGTGTAATAATGTAGTGAGTTTTGCATGCTAAACTGGCTCAATTTTGTTGAGTCCAAAATGGGAAACAATAGGGGTGACCACTGTTTTTGTTTACATCATTCCCGATGATATTGGGTTTAAGCAGATGCAAATGTTGATCACCCAGGCAGTATTCACAACAGGAATTGAGATTTATAAAAACCAAAACAACAAACCACATGTAGAGCCTACCTCTCTGTCTAGAGTGAGTCGGCTGCTGCATTTGCTGGCACTGCGACTCCGTTGGCTGCTGTCCAGATACGTGTAAACAGCAAATCTTTCATTCAACATCTCAAAAAACCTGACTAAAATTTGCTGCTACATTAATTGTTAACTGACTTTCTAATGTACATGAATGTGTATGGTTCTCAAAACATTTTACCATGTTTAACTTATGCTGACAACATATATAGGGCAAACAGATAGCGCCAAACTATGTACAGGATTTTCTAGTTTTGCCTTGCAGGAAGGATGAATGTGTATTGATATGCTAATGTCAAAAATGGCCCTGGGGCGCCCAACAAAAACAATACGGAAAGGTCATGCCAGTCGTTTTGCTTCAATGCACGCAGGATTGCAGGTGTTACCAATTTGAAACAGGGGACTACTAGTATTTTGCTGAATTATTGTACAAGAAGTACATGTATGTATTTATACTTGTATGTATTTGCTAAAGAGGGAAAATGATTCCCTGCGAGTGAGTACATACAAATGTATACCAATTACCACTGTGGATGTTCTGTTGACACATGTATCTAAATTATAGTATAAATATATATTTATTTTGGACTTTCATCATGAATAACATAAATAGTTTCATGATTATATTTCCTGAAAAAAAATCATACTAAAATCGATACTCATTAGTAAAAACAACATTTACATATGGGAACAGGAATTATAAATACTAGTTTTGTACATGTATATGGATGTAAAAAGTATACCTCAGTGTATTACATACAGTTATATGTATACTGGAATACGTACATATGTAGAATACACTTACCCCTGTTCAGATAGAGACGTCCCATATCGCTGACCCAATATCTGTCCTCGGACCTTTAGATATTGCTTTCTGATTATTGGGTCATGCTGTAACGTTACATCAAGAAAAAAAAATTATATAATCAGTATGTAAATTACTACTACTAAATATGAAGTTAAACCTTAAAAAATGTTGACATTGCAATTGGCTAATTGTTATGAAAGTCAAAATAAAATAAAATCAGGAAACATCTCAATCACAATGATTTATCATGTTACAGAGTATGCTGTTAAGTTATTCATAAACCTAAGAAAGTCAGTGCAAAAACTCTGTATGATATTACTCCAGTTGAGGCACACGTGTGTCCGTAGCAAAACACAGACATGTATGTCAAGATTCATCTATCTAACTCATCTATCTTAATGGCAAAACTTACTTCAATTTTGGCATTTTCTCTCAGCAGCTGACTTCTGCGACGGATGTACTGGGTACCTGAAACAATGAAAAACTTCTGTGAAATAAAATAAGATGTTATTTGGTCTACTGTAAATGTAATTCTTAAAACTTTTGCTGTAGTTCATGACAGCACGAAATGTGACTTTTTGTCTCCCTCATATTATAACTAAATTCCTCCACATACCACCCAGTTACTCCCATCCGGCTTGCACTTTGTCACGTACCCACAGGCTAGACCTCCCTGTCAATCAACTGTAACCAAATATTCACCCACCCTCCCTGTAACCATCACTGCTGGACAAGCATGAGTCAGTTTTTAAAGTAAAACTCACGGAACTGTGGACTGCCCGGTAGCCTGTAGGCGTTATAACGTGCGTCCTGCGCCAAAATCTGCTGCCACACAGCCGCCATGTTAGCTGACCTTTGGGAATATGATTCTGTAACAAATCATAATGCATAATGAGAAAAAAAATTAAACTAAATTTACAAAAAATTGGCAGACAATCTATTTCAATGGTGTCATCCAAAGGATCTGAAAAATTTTATTTGCTTGCAAAATTTATCTGTTGGCTTTCAAAAATATACATATCCAATGTTGGCCCTTAGATTAGTCAGTGTTAGTTTTCTTTATAAAGCCAACTACCAATATTACCAATGCATTATATACGTATTACTGTAAATATAGTTATATGTTATTTGTTACGATATAAGTTGGTAACTTATAGTAGTTATACAATAATTTTAGAGACATCTGAGACATATATCTATCCAAATTTACCTTTTATCCTTTGAATCCTTACTCACAGTTGTCAGAAAGATGGTGAGAACATCATATGTCCATTCAGATCAATAATTAAAACGCAAAATCAAGATAGAAACGACAACATCTGGTGATCAGTGGTTTTTACCCCTCCCACCTAATGTTTCAACAATAGAGGGCCAAAAATACACAGCTCAGTTTGAAAAAAAATACCACAAATGGGCATAGTGCAATACTCAGGTGTGTTTGAAGTATCAAAAAGGGATATATAGCTTTTGAATGTTTCTAAAAATGTTGACAGTTTATTTTATTACATAAGTGTGCTAAATCGACACCTTTGAATGTTGCAAGTGTTTGTTGTTTTGTCGCCCTCTAATTAATTCAACTTTGACCCAAACGTACTTCCGGTGACGTCACCCATCTTCAAACAAAGATGGCTGTCAGAACGAGAAGGAAGTAAAAAACCTCGTCACAATTTTTCGTAAAAATCTCGGTATTCAGGGACCTTTGGACCCCACGTCACCAATCGCTAGGAAGCTGAAGAGTTGGTGAACGTTTCTGTGGCTGGTTTTCGCGGTGGACTGATCGCATGGTGGTGAAAATGTCGACGGTTGTAGGTAAGTGTGTGCATTTGCAAGGCTTGGACGGCAAAATGGCGAAAATATTTTTACTGTGAGTCATTCCGGTTTAAATGCTCCTCCCTTTTTTAAACGATAAATGATGAAATTTTGTTGAATCTATGAAATATTTAATATGTTTTGGTATCATATTTAAGACTAAAATTACGTCAAAACGTACGGTTTTGTCTCTTAATATATTTCGCCCAGTTCAGGGGTGAATCAGTTACAATTTTTGGAGTAGGTAGATAACGTAGTAGTAGTACTAATTTTGCCAATCTTTAAAAAGCTATGTGTTTTTACGATATTTAACCATAATGTCATAGGGTTGTATCATTGATGTCGTAATTGTGAGAGTTAGAATTATTAAAAACAAAAAAAGATTCCCAAGCACCCCAACAACACCATCTGTGTCCCTAATATGGGGCGTCCCATGGGGCTATACAACAGTCCCCTTCTGTTGTATTGTTGTGTGTATGCAGCACTAGTATCTTTGATATCATTTATTTTAGAAACCCTTTTCAACTGGAAGGACTCCAAAAATTGTATGATCTATAATTTTGTAGCACAAATGGTATTCTTGAAGTAAAATAAAGATTTAGGACATGTATAACAGATTGAATGGCACATTGTATGATGACCCCATTCAGAAATGAGACTTTTATTTTCTCCTCAGATTTGACACCAGAGGAAAAGGAGCTGCTGGCTGACATCCAGCGCAGGAAAAAGCAGCTCCTCCAAGAGATACAGGTTGGTACTGCAGCAGAGTAGACATTCTTGTGAATCTCTGAAGTGTTGCCTTTGCTTTTGTCAATGTCAGTATGACTCAGTAACATAAAATAAGCAATTTTTTTCATCAGGCATTCAGGGGTCAAAATTGGATACTGACCTAATGCAAAAATTCTATTTTTACAGCGACTCAAAGATGAAATTGCTGATGTTACAGCTGAGATGGAACAGATGGACAACCCAGATGACAAGTAAGTGACCTGCAGTACAAACATTTTGTCTTTTATTATTGTTTTAATTCTGAGTATGTATTGTAAAATTACTTAATTTAATTGAATACACGCCATGGGCATAGCTGTCCAAGAAAACAACTTGATTCACACGCCCGTCTTCCTTACAGCTCAGCTGACTCCAAGACTAAACAGATGAACATCGGCAGGAAGAAGTTCAACATGGACCCCAAGAAGGTCTGTAATTAAACTCATCTTAAACTCTCTCTTTTTACTTTCACTTACTTTAGGCTATTCCTGTTCAGGTCAAACCAGTCACGGCTCAAAATACTGGGTGCATAATTACCTGTGTGACTTGAGACAAATTCTACCTGAACCATTAAAAATTTAGGAAGTACATTGTCATACATGTAGCTAGCCAAAACATTGAGTATGAAATATCTCCTCTCTTCTTCCAGGGCATCCAGTACCTTCTAGAGAACGGTCTCCTTAAAGACGACCCAGAAGACATCGCCCGCTTCCTTCACCAGTTGGAGGGGCTGAACAAGACGGCGATCGGAGAATACCTGGGAGAGAAAAACGAGTTGAACTTGAAGGTTCTTCAGGCGTTCGTGGGACTACAGGAGTTTGAGGGGATGATTCTTGTACAGGCTCTTAGGTCAGGACCAGAACATGTTCTGTTTTTGAATGGATTTCATAGCTTTTTTGCTATGCAAATAATTCTAGTCCCAAGGACAACACCGTCAAATTTTCAGCTAGCTAGCAGTTTTCTGTGAACTACAGTTGCTTATTTGTTTCTTTCTGAACATGTATCGACTCCATTATATTGAGTGGCAGGTAGCTCTTAGGCCTCATTAGGAAGTGGTAGACTTTCGTGTCACCTGGCTGCTTTCTATGGAACTGCAGTTGCTTATTTGTGTGTTCCCTTTCAGTGCAATATTAGCATGCTATGATTATACCACAGTTTGTGTGTGAAAATATTGCAGACATTTGGGCTCACAAACAGACTGAAACTCTCAAAAGCTAAAAACAGTCAAGCTTTCCAGAAGGTCCCATTGTGTATAAAAGATCAAACCTTTAATGCACAAAGAGTTAATCCAGTGATGTTATTGGTTTACAGGCAGTTTCTATGGAGTTTCCGTTTGCCAGGAGAGGCCCAGAAGATAGACAGGATGATGGAGGCCTTTGCTCAGAGGTACTGTCAACAGAACCCTGGAGTCTTCAACACCACAGGTGGGCAAAATGTCATAAAGGTTTGACCTTATTACAACTGTAGAATATTTATGTTTACCAAAGGAAAACATATTGGTTTTGCCCTGTTTCTTCTTCCCCTTCTTCCTCTTCTTCTTCTCCAAACCAAAAAGGTCAATGACCTGAACCAGACTGTCTGCTACCATGGCAACTAGTGTTGGTTTACAATTCTACAGCAAGAGGAATTTAGACTCCTGTCTGACCATATACAATTTTGTACTAGTATATGAATGTGTTTGAGTAAGAATTAACAGAGCAGACCATACCGTATGCAAAGGTACACATTATGCATTTGCTTTGAAAATGTTACCTTTCTACTTTCTAGTTACTGAACATTGTTATTATGCCCTTTTTCCAGACACGTGTTACGTTCTGTCGTTTGCGATCATCATGTTGAACACGAGCCTGCACAACCCGAGTGTGAAGGACAAGCCGAGCGTGGAGCGTTTTATCACCATGAACCGCGGGATCAACGATGGAGGAGACCTCCCTGAACAACTGCTCACTGTAAGGATGCAACACTTCAAGTTATTTCTGCTTAGGTACCCGTTTGGTATGATGTTTTTGTGTTGTCAATGGAGGTAAGCAGAAGGAAGATGGTTGAAATATTACATTCCTCCCCAGGGCTCGAAATCATTTTTTTGAATTGAAGAATAGATGTCAATTTGTTTGAGCTTTTCTTGTGAATCATCAATCATGATGATGATGTGAATAAATCGTTAACAAAATTTTCTTCTCCCAGGACTTGTATGAGAGCATTAAGAAGATGCCGTTTAAGATCCCAGACGACGATGGTAACGATCTTACGCACACCTTCTTTAACCCAGACAAGGAAGGCTGGCTCCTTAAGCAAGGTGGGTTGTGTCTTTAAGAGTTCAGAAGTTTGTCTTACTTGTGGCTTTGCTGAACTTTTGTTCTACAATATGCAAAGCTTTTTTGTACCTTAACCTGTGTTGCTTTAGCTTGACTATGAGGTGTATCTACCTGTGCACCCCTCTCTGTAAAGTGATCTGTTCCATGTTACAGACAGGGGTGAAAATTGACAGTTAAAATTCAAAATTACTGGAAAATATTCATGTTTTTTGTGATTTTTTTATCACAGGCAAAAATGCAAGATTTATCTGAAACTCAGTATGTTTGATTTAGGAAAAAATTGGAAAAAAGGAAAAATGCCTGAAGAACACAGCCAAGAAAAATGTCCTCAAATTATGTTGATCACAAACTAGACAATATTGTTGCCATAGAATTCCAATTGCACAACCCCCCCTACCCGTCCCAACCATACCCATTCCATAGCATGTAAAGAACCGTCCAGAAAAATGTAGGATGAAATTAGTTGAATAGGAAGTGGGGCTTTTTATGCTTGCTTTGTTATGTCGTCAAGTTTGCATGGCTTCAACTGCGTATGTGAACTGTAGTTGTAGAATAGAAAGTAGAATGAATTTTCAGTGCCACTCTGTAGTGTGTTTGTTATCAAAGATTGTATTTTGAGTGTTGAAGTATTAGACAAAAGTGTTTTCCCTTATATGGCATGGTGGTCACCTATCACTAGTATCAGTATGAAAAAAAAATTAACATTTTTGGGATGGAACCCAATTTTTAGAAATTAATTTTCAGTTCTACATACATTGCAATGACGGAATTTTTCACCCTTATATATTGGTTTTCACCATGCCAATTGTATCATATGGGAAACAAATAGAATGTATAAATCTCTAGTATGTAGTTTTCAACATTATCCCCCAAAATTTAGTAGAAGACTTCAGGTTCTATTAATTTTTCAACTGTACGTCATTGGCCTTTTAGGGCGTAGGCAGAAATGTTTTGTGGTTGAAGTTAGTAAGACCACTTTTCCATAGTTTTTCCCATTTCTAGTTGGAACGTTTTTGAGGAGAGTTTTACTGAAATGTTCTTCTCTTTACATGTGTGTTTTCATTGCATTCAAATAAATCCATTCTCGTAATTTGGACGTAAAGCAAGTAAGTGAAATTCATCTTCAATACATGTTCCCGTGGTAACCATTCATTCAGCCATCTTTTCACTTCCTAATTCTTCCACTCAGTCACTCCCTCTGAAAACTCGTTTTTCTCTTTCTCTCTCCTCACTTTTTCCCCTATTCACTATATATGGCTACCCCATTATATTATGGGTGGTAGAGATTTTTCTAAGCACTTTAACATTGAAATTGTGTTCACTATCCATTTAGGGATCTTTCATTATATAATGTGAAGTGGTGGTTGGAACAACAGGGCTCAAAATATTGTGTTTAAACAGTGGTACAATGACTTCTTCCACATTCATTAGCATTGTAAATAAGTGAGGTGTTTAAAAACACCTTGGCGACGTTAAGTAGTAGATTTTGTGATTGCTGGACAAAGACCTGGAGACTGAAAACAACTTCATTATAAAGGGAAGTCATACGAAATAAAGGATGAATACTTTATTTTGAGCCCTGATTGTTGTCATATAGTGCAAGCTAATACATGTACTAATGAAAATGTAGATGTTGTTTTTTCCACTCAAGAAAACTTACAAGTTTGGTTTTACATGCTAAGGTACTAAGTATGACACTCAGCATCCATGTTGGAGCATGCTGGAATGAGAAGTACACATAAAACGGATTTTATAACAAAAGCTTCTGACTTCAGAGTTTTGATTCAGTTGAAAGTTAAAACGTTGTTGACCAAAAATGTAGCTACATTTGTCTCCTTTTCCAACGCATAGCAAAATTGCCAATGTTTTTTTTTAGTTGTCCAACATTTTGAAAAAAGAGTAGTCTGGCAAGCTTTTAGCATACTTCCCTTACAGTATATCTTTATGAAGGATTTAGAGCCTGGGATAAGATGACAAGCTTTAGGTCAAAATGTCAAGAAAAGTGACTTACACTACAGACTGACATACATGTCATTGTTGGCTGTACTCCAGCATGGCTGCTGCAGCTTAGCATGGCAGTTTCTCTGGAACAGGACTGTTTGCTGTGACATGTGTGGTGTGTTTTACTACTACATGTACTAGTATTTGGCCACAAATGTTCTCTCAATCTAATTGGTTGTTGTGATGTAGATTTATAATGCAATCAATAGTTAATTCTTAGTGAGTTCTTTTGTCGTTACCCAGACGGTATTATATTTATTCAATGTAAAATGCCTTGTTCAACAAAAAGTTATGTTCTCTTGCAATGCAGTTATCGGAGATGTTGAAAAATCATGACACTAAATTTAATGTATAATGCTCCATGGTCCTAATTGAGTAAGATCCATCAAACAACCAGGATAATTTGCAAGATATACAATATAGTAGTTATGTTGGTATTTCTTACCTCTTTATCAACAGTATCTTTCTTGTGTGTAAAATGCCTGCCATGGCCAGTTTTCTTTTAAAAAACTGTTCTTTAAAAAAGCCAGAGTTTGCATACAAAGAAGATGTAGTTTTACAAGTGGTAAGCTGATCTTTATCTTATGATGGGAAGAAATATTTGGACTGGCCCATTCTGGTGAGGGGGAGTTAAAAAGAAACTTAACCATGTCCCATCTATACTGATGTTGATCGTTCTAAATTTTAGGTGGACGACACAAGACCTGGAAACGTCGCTGGTTCATCCTGACTGACAACTGTCTCTACTACTTTGAGTACACTACGGTAAATTCATTTATTGTTGCAGTTTTCCTGGTGTTTAAACTTTGCGTTTGCCCTTAAAACACTTTTGTTACTATAGTAGCACAATAGATTTACTATTGTGTTATTATAATATAGTGGCACAACCATATTTACAGTGCCACGACTATAAAAAAATGCAAAAATTTACATGTGTTTGATCTTCATTGATTTTAACTTTAAGAAAACTGCTTAGCTATTTCTAGTAGTCACCTTTCTGCAAATACATTGACATAAAGAAATAATGTGACTTTTATTTTTGCTTGTGTTGTTGGATATACGAGATTTAGTAGATTAATGAATGTGTTTTCCTGCAGGATAAGGAACCAAGAGGGATTATCCCACTGGAGAACCTTCAGGTCCGACTTGTGGAGGACTCCAAGAAACCTGTAAGTTGATCACACAACCTCGCTATTTCTAACTTTGCCAAACACATCGTTTGAATTGATTTTTTCTTATTCCAATACTTAATCTAATTATTATAATATAATGTATTATTTTATGAACTTAAGACATTGTAAATCTCTGTCTTCACAGAACTGTTTTGAGCTGTACCCATCTGAAGCCAACAGTAAAGCTGTTATCAAGGCCTGCAAGACTGACTCTGAAGGCAAAGTGGTGGAAGGTACAAATAGATTTCTAATCTTCTTCCACATTCTAAAAACATTTCTGTTATAATATAAATGTACTTGTGCTTTTTCTAATACAAGGTACAAATAGCCTTCATTAACATTTATGTGCCAGGTCAAATATATCTGCCACTTTGAAAAACTGTGTGTTTGAGAAATTGTGTGTGCAGCACCCACCAGGAATGTGCAGTTTGCATGTTGCATTGGAGATATCAGAATAGCCCAAAATGTTAGAAACAAATGTTTACTAAATAATGGGCACTGCCAGAAAACCTTATGTTGTGTGATTGAAATCAATCAATCGGATACAAATATAAATGAACATATAATTTTTTTCCAGGACGTCATCTAACATACCGCCTGTCAGCTGCCACCCAAGATGAGAAACAAGAATGGATAGAAGCAATAAAGTAAGTATTGTTAAAGTATTCAAGTAACTACCAACACACTTGCCAGCAATCTGGGTAGTCCTTTATACTCATAGTAGAAGGTGACTGCAAGCAATCAAACAAACACATCCACATGGTACATATGAAACAAAACCTTCATTCATAGAGGCAATAACTCATACCTTTCTCTTCATTTCAGGAGGAGCATCAGTAAGGATCCCTTCTACGACATGCTGGCAGCCAGGAAGAAGAAAGCCACCCACCTACAGAACTGAGGAGATGGAACAGTCTAGTTTATAAGACAGTACCTCTTGAACAGTCCATTGTACAATGGGGGTGTACAAAGCTGATTGAAAACATGTAAAGCATTGGGTGCTTATTTTAAAACTGGCTATTGCATTAGATTGCTTTAATTGTATTTTGTATTGAGTAAAAAGATGAAAAAGACTAACATTTCATTTTAGAAACTAACTCAAATGTATACAGAAAAAGTAGTTAACTTTAAATCATCAGATTTCAAATGTGGAAGCCTAATATTGAAATGTCCAATAGTGTACTCTTATTTCCATATATTCTGCATGTACTAGACTAAGTGTTTAACCTTATACTGCAATGCTGTGTAAAAAGATTTGTAGATATAGAAACCTAACATCTGTAGAATTCACATTGTAAAATTTGAATCTAAAGATTCTTTAGGTTTTCAAAGCCATGTTGAAGACATGTACATGTTTTGTATGTGCAAAAATAGAAATATAAATGTATGACTAGATTACTCTTTGTTTTGTTTTTTGTACATTGAATTTATTTGTTTTTTTTTGTTGGTCATCAAAGTAATACTGTGGAAGATATTTTATTTCTGATGTTTGAAAAAATGTTTATTTCTTCATAGTTTTCTGGTAGCTTGTTTCTGTACAGTAGTTGTACAGTGTTCATACCATAGCACAATGTATTGATTTGACTTCATAAAGGCGTAGAAAGCTGATTTTTTTAATAACATGCTTGTTAATTTCTGCATTCCAAAATGTGTATAGTACTAAAATGTCCTTTTGCAAAGTAATGAACTTTTTGGTCTTTCCCTTTAAGATTTTTGGTTGATATAACATTTAATCTTAGCAATTGTGTTTATCCAGAAAATGATTCAACCAGCTGTAAATTCAGTAATTAAGAAGTACTACTGCCATGTGTGTAAACGTTTACTTTTTGCTAAATGTACATGACATACTTTGAAAAAAAAAGCATTCTTTGAGGCTCTATAGGAAAGGCTCATGAAGACAATTGTTTCCAGGGAAAGTGGTATATAAAAACAAAGTTGATAAACAAACATACCAGATACTTCATTTAATTATACGTATAATGCTTAACTAATTTCTTGAAAGGCCTTTACTTATAGGACCCAATTTAGATTGATGCTTTGTAACGTATTGACTCTTTGTATTGTGCTTTAAATGCAAAAGCATGCCATATGTTACTTCCAGTATTTGTTGCATAATTGTATTACTCATTAAAGAAAGTTAACAGTTAAATTCAAGTGCATTTACTGTTGAACAAATGTCTGATATTGTTTGTAGTTAGTACCAAGGACATTATAGAAATTCATATTCACTATTAAAAGCATAATCACTGCATTAGATGGCTTATACAGCAATCCATATTTTGGCTACAATGGACATGGAAATTATGAAGATGTATAGAGTGCTTGGGTTGTCAGAAGGTTGATAAATAGGCCATAATTTACATTAGAAATTTATAAAAACACCAGACATGCAAAACCTTGCTGTTAAGAGGTGAGCTGCAGGACCAAAAACATACACAAACCGATGACCCCCTCCTCTTTTGATAGCACTCTCTCATTCAGGATTTGCTGCCTCTAAAAGATATTATTGACATCACGTCTTTGTTCAAGCCAAGTTATCAAATTCTTGGCGTAGATATCAGGTGCTAAACGCCCCTCGAAATGTTGGAATAACCCAAGTGAAGGATTGTGGGACATAAGGTCAACAGGTCATGTAGTCTAATGCACTGAATTCTTCCAGGTAAGGCCCTTAAAAACACTCTATTCTGAAGATTTCCATTCTCTTTCAATCCCCAGTGTATTTCGAAGGGCATTTTTCTCTAATTGTTGCGACGTTTTTGTTGAATAGTGTTTATTTGGTCGTCGAAAGCGAACGAAAAGAAAGGTTGGGGAGGGGGGTTACATTACTTCCGGGTTTCGTAACCCAAGTTTCGTAACCTACTTTGTTCTGTTTAGTCATGTACCTACACTGACAGTGACATTGCATGATGTTTTAACCATCGAAATCTATTTGAACGGTATCAAATGTGCCGGTAGTTCTGGGTATCATTAGTAAACCCAGTAAAATTGGCCAAATAGGCACATAAAATTATATGGGGGATCCGGAGTTGGTCCGTTATTAAACTTTAAAAGGAACTTTGGAAGGTAGCAAATATACTCCTTAGCGGACAAACTGTCCGGATAGAGGCTAGGGTGTGCCCTCCTAAAGCAACCACAGCTCTTTTGCGCACTGCATTGCTCACAACAGTTTCCCTACCCTGTCCTTAGTGCTGAAAATACTTTCGTGTTTGGGGAGTGTTATTGGCATATGGCTATCCCTTTAAGATATGGGGAAATTAACAATAGATGGCATATGTTAAGTGGAGTTGTGACCCTATATATCGCTTTTTTGCAGTTTACGTCGCCAGAATTTTGCCCCACAACAACCGATGAATGACCAAGGTGTGCCACAAAGGAAGCAAAGAAGGTTGAAGAAAGATTTTGGACGTTAAGATACAAATTTACGCAACTAGTACTGTTTATCGAGGAAAGTCGTACTGTCAAATAGTGCAAGATAGGCCAGATCTTTTGCCTAGCGTTGGTTCAAAAACTGTGCCAGCCGCAATGGAAATAAGAGAAGAACGCCCCCTATTTTCTTTCGGAATCATTGCAGACGTCCAATATGGAGACCTTGACGATGCTAAGAACTTTACTCAGACCAAGGTGAGGTATTACAGAAATGCCCTCTATCTCTTACGCGAGGCGGTGCAGCACTGGAAAGAAGGGAACAAAATCCAGTTTGTGCTTCAACTTGGTGATGTAATCGACGGGTTCAACACAAGGCACAAAAACTCCGAAAACGCTCTACGTGACGTTTTGAGAGAATTCGAAGGCGTTCCTTTCACGGTTCATCACATATGGGGAAACCACGAGTTCTACAACTTCTCCAGAAGCTACCTCATGAAGTCTTCGCTTTTCACCGCTCAGGAAACTCAAGAAACCGCCAACAATGTTCAAAAAGTTGTGAAGAAAGAAGCAGACGCTGCTTACTATGATTTCTCCCCTTACGAAGGCTACAGATTCATCATTCTGGATAACTACGACATCAGCATGTGTGGAATCGGTAGGGACAAAGATTCGCCACAATACAAGGAGGCAGAGAAGATCCTGAGAGAACGGAACAGAAACGAGGAACTGAATTCACCGGAGGGTCTGGTCGGGCTCGACCGTAGGTTCGTCATGTTTAACGGCGGCATGGGAGAAGAACAGCTGCAGTGGCTACGTGAGACACTAGAGGTCGCTCGACAACGAGGGGAGAAGGTCGTTGTGTCAGGTAAATGTTATAAATGTCCATATCAAGATACAATGTATAGCAATCCTTTACAAATAGAACGGTATGGGAGAAGAGTACCTGTAGTGACTACATGAGACGCTAGAAGGCACTCAAACACAAGGGGAGAAAGTTGTTGCGCCTGTAAGCTGGTATTCATTCTCATCTCAATATGTAACAATATTTTATGAATAGGAAAACAGTAACTGAGTAACTGTATTTTTCTTGTGAATCTCATTATATATTAATTACCCAGATCTGTAACGATAACCAATCAGTCTTAAACGTGAAGCACATATTCAAACGTACAGTTCTATGTGTTTTCCTATTCATGAAAGATTGTTTAATATTACAGGCTTTTCAAATCTACCAGGTTGCTTCAGTAATCTTGTGTTCATTACTTTCTGATGTATTTGAACCTCACACAAGTTTTGTCTGTTTCTGTTCTTTGACTGTATAGGACACGTCCCAGTGCATCCCGACTCCTGTTATGTCATGTGTCTCCTGTGGAACTATCAAGACGTCTTGAACATCCTCCAAGACTTCTCCGACATCGTCCTGGCTTACTTCTGCGGCCACGATCATGAGGGCGGGTACCACTACGACTCTGGGAACGAGATCCATCACGTGACCCTGCCGGGGGTTGTTGAGGTCCCGCCCGGGAGTAACGCCTTCGGTACTGTGGACGTTTTCACAGACAGACTCGTCATGCACGGGGTGGGGCAACTGGACAGTAGGGTCATGAAATAGACCAGTGTCATGCTTTAATTTTGTTAAAGGCATCCAATGCAATTTAAGGCAGCCAAACTGTATCTGTTACATAGTGAAACCTTGGTATTACTAGTAAAATTGAAAAGGGATAAAAATTAACCTTGTACAATAGCTACCACCACTTCAACATAATTTATGAAAATCCTTGTATTCTGTGTTGATATCAGCTGGCACGATGATACCTCAGAACTATGTTATGAGAAAATCAAATACTATACATAGATATAATTGCTGGACGGTTTGTTTATTGATTATTGATAATTTTGTAACTGCTTGCAATTGTCAATCTTTTACTTGAGATATTTATGATCGTGTTGATTTTATCTTGAGATTCTGTGTGTTCTAGAAAGTTGTTGAATCAACTGAAATTAAAGGGATCATGGCAACATGCTTTAACATGTGTGCTCACTTTGAGTGTTAATTATGTGACAGAATTAAACTGTATATTTCCCAGGGAAAACCTTCTTGGAGGAAGTTATTATGCAAATAATAGTCAGTCGGAAAAAACAATATGTCGCTTATGGCTTCATTTTTCTGTTTTCCTTAGGAATTGATTTTGTTTTGTGTGGCAATTCCCGTTTGGAATATGTGCACCTTTTAGTTTATTCTTGCTTCAAGTATCGACTTTTTGACAGAAATTAATCAAAATCATTTAGGAAAAGTTACTACTCTAATTAATGAACAAAAAAAAAATCGACTCCAAAACAATTTGCAGTAGCTTAGATGTCTATGCAGTTCTTTTATTGTAGCTTAGGACTTTCCCACCATTTTTAATACTTTTTGACAGGGTGGTTGGCGCATGCGTACTAAATACGTCATAGATATTGATATTGATTGCTCAAGTTGTTAACATAACCCGTGAGTTATCGGTTATCTTATTTACTGATATCGTGTTGCTATATACCGTATTACAGGCTGGCTACTCAAACAACAAAGTCCAAACATCACCTATCATATGACCTTTACGACATATCAGAGGCTAGCAAAGGGATTAAAGAAGACTTTCAACACCGACTCAATTGGGAAGTAGTGGCGTAGCAATAAAAGTTCTTATAATTATACAGTGATTTTGTCGTTTTCGTGTCATTCGATGATAATAGGAGCACAGAAAAAATATCCGGCAATGCCGGTCAAGCAGTAACACGGAAACCCCCTTTACACCCTCCTTGCACAGTATGATAACATCCTTCATGATACTTTTCCATCGTGTTCCTCTTGCTGTTAAAATACTGTTAAAAACGTTCAGATTTTCGTTTTAAATCTACCATTTACTTATCAACATGATGACAATAACAAGGATGTTGTCGTTACAAGGAGCCTGCCTGTTCCTGTTGATTCGTGCCACTTCTTCAACTGGTGAGTAAGATGTATAGATCAACGTTGTAGCTGCCGCATAAAACAGTATTATAATTATAATTATAATAGGCAACACGTAAACAGTCTGAAAAAGAGGAAGTCATGATTCTACTGTGTGTGTTAATGGCTAGATCTTACACATTTTAGTCATAAAATTGATTTCAAAGTAGAATCTTGGATATGATGTGGAACGGCCCTCATGAGTGAAAATCTCAGATTAAGTGTTATATTTTCCTAGCTGTAGAGTCCTGTGACTTTGAGTCGTACAGAATTTGCGGCTACACGCAGGACAGGACGGACGACTTTGACTGGACCAGGAGAAGAGGTTCCACCACTACCAGCGGTACTGGGCCTACTGGTGATCATACCACTGGATCTGGTAAGTGTATAGACAGAATGTTTATCTATTTACCTTTCGTCTATTTATCTGTTTTATTGTTCGTCTACTATAATTAGATCGCATTAGCCAAGTTTTATTAAAAGACTTTATTAAAAGGCTAGAAAAAAATACCCGTGATTTAATACATACGTGTGAGAACATTTAAGTCGAAGTGTGTGTTGTCTGCGGAGTTATGCATACATTGCTCGTAAGAAGATGTACCAGAGGTACAATAAATTATCCTTTTTTTCTTATTGTATTATGTAAATAACAACACAGAACACACAAAAAGAAACAGTTACTCAAGCAACTGGGCATGGTTTTGTAAATACAAATGTAGTTCCAGACATTTCATGTAGCATCCACCACCTTTGTATATCAATAAATAGTTCGTGGTTACTTGTTATTAACATGTTGATCTTGAGATCTCACTATTGTCTCAAAAGTAGTATACGCTACCTAAAACGTCTGACAGTTTGCAAAATCATACCCTGTCGCGTAACTGATTTTTACAGTTAGCTCAGCTTTTGAATCCTCCCTGTCGTTCCCAGGGTATTATATGCACATTGACGGTACCGGTCAGTCGTTGGGTAAAAAAGCTCGTCTGAAATCGTCGTTGATTTTCACGCGCGGAGCTCAAGATTTCTGTCTGGAGTTCTACTACCACATGTACGGTAGTACTGTAGGGACACTCAACGTGTACAGGGATAGGTCCTACTCAAGCTACAGGGTGTGGTCAATGTCCGGTAACCAAGGCAACGCGTGGCAGAAGGCTTCAGTCGACTTCTCCTCGTCTTCCTCATATTTCCAGGTCAGGTTTAGTAGTATTCTCTTGAGGGAACTTTCTTACAAATTTACTCAAAAACATATGAAAATGTCTTGCTTTATCTGGCTTTGGTGACTGTTGGATCTATTATTTTTTTGCTCTCTGCAGATCATATTTGAAGGAGTTCGCGGACAATGGGACAATAGTGACATCGCTATTGATGACGTAGAGATCAGTAACCATGCATGTGGCGGTGAGCAAATTTTGGCGACGCCTCAGGGGCATTACCTTTACTGTAGGATTTTGGTTTGTCTGATTTTTTGCATTTTATTGGTAACAAAAGTTTAACCTTTTGGCTTTTGGTACGTACGGCGTATTACTAAGCATATAAATAAGGGACTAAGACGTTTAAAATCACGCATTATTGCTAATTTACTGAAATTTTGTTTTCTTTCTATTAGCCGTTCCAACTGGTACGGGAGATTGCAACTTTGAATCGTCTGATATCTGTGGTTACACACATGACCGGACACACGACTTCGACTGGCAGCGGCACCGCGGGGCTACGTCATCCTCCGGTACGGGGCCGAGTCAGGACCACACTACAGGCACCGGTGAGGACTGTGTCTTATTGGCCGTTTGTAGCCACGTGACTGTGACGTAATTTACCCTCCTCCCAAGCTGACGCAACATGTTTTGAATGGGTGTATGTATGTCATGTTGGAAGCAGAAAAACTCGTTAAATTATGATTTTTTTTTATTTTTTATTCTATTTTTTATGCCTAAAGCCACGTGGGCGGTATTAGTAAGGCGTTCAAGTTTCAACCACATGGATTTATTTCGTACAAACATGCTTTTTAGCTGATTTTATATTTCCATACGTCACTTGTTTTAATTGCGCTACCATTGTTTTCTCTTGTATGACAAAAAGGCTAAAAACTTTATGTCCAACACTAATTAATAGTAAATTGGGACTTACCAAATTTACTTTTGGTGTTGGACATAAAATTTGGCTTTTTTTATAATGCATTATACCAACACAGATTTATTTTATGCTAAGATTGTTTTCTCTTGTATGTAAATGAAATGCATTGGCTGAAGGTAAGTACTGTACTATACCGTTATCTTTCCTTTCTACTGTAGGCTACTACATGTATATGGAAACGACACTACCAGCGACAGGAGACAAGGCACGACTAGTCTCCCCCGCCATAGTAGGAGGCGGCGGGAAATGTGTCCAGTTCTGGTACCACATGTACGGATCGCGTACGGGCACTCTGGCGGTCTTCAACAAGGTGTACGACCAGACTACCCAAGGAACGAGAGTTTGGTTGCTATCCGGTAACCAAGGCGACGCCTGGAGACGAGCTCGAGTGACGTTATCGCAAACTGCTGCCTATTTTCAGGTAATTTAAGGAAACTTTTGGCTCAAAAAATGCTTCTTATTGCATGTTTACTGTTAATATGAATCCCTATAATTTCATTAACTTAAAAAGATATTTGCTTGAAAACTAATTTTTTTGTAACCACTGTATGTAACTCTTTCTTTTTTGGTCATTTTATTTAAAATACGAGCAAATAATCTTTTTTTTCTGCAGCTTGTTTTCGAAGGCACAAACGGGGGATTTTTCTCTGACATCGCCGTTGATGATATAGACGTCAGCGACGGAAGTTGCCGAGGTACATTTTTGTACTGACACATGTTGCCTTCATCTTTTATTTCCAAGAATTACCTAAGCGGTGGTTGTTTTCAATCGTATGTTTTTTTTATATTGTCTTTTTTACAGACGTAAACGAATGTCTACAAGACGCCCAGGCCTGTTCTCCGCATGCGCAGTGCACCAACACGGCGGACGGGTACGAGTGCACATGTCGCCCTGGGTACTCTGGGAACGGGCATCTTTGTGAAGGTTAGAGACGCCATTTTGTTTCCTTGTTTCCGTGCATGATTTTCCATTGGGGATTAAGAATAGTTTGTACATTATTAGATCAGATAAAAACCAAACTGAGATATTTCTTTTACGTTTTGTTCAGCCTTACCAACGACTCGACCGCCTACAACGATGACAACAACAGCCGAAGTTGTCACAACCCCCTTCCCGACAACTATTGTCGTAACCACGTCACAAGCTAAAACTACCTCTGCAACAACTACCCTTGAACCCACAACTACCATGGTCCCGACAACCTTTAACGCAACCACCTCGTCTACAACTATTATGGAATTCAGTACAGGTCCAGCCAATATCACCACCGCCACCAATGCGATATCAACAGATAACACTGAGTCTACTACAGATGGAATGACCACTAAAATGGTAAACCAAATCTGTTTTCTTAAATTTCTTTATTGAATTGGTACTAGTATTAGATTAGATTCAACACAACATGTAAGGACGTATATTTTCTCATTATGTGCATAACGCCAAATTTCTGTATCTGTCTTAGTCATATATGCAGGTGGATATTTAACGTTAAAAACATATTGAGTACTTATCATTGATGGCAATTATATTGCAACAAAAGTGTAGCGTGAGGAACATTAACAGAAACGCGTGTTTCGTAAGCATTATATAATTTGGTGTTTGGTCTCATAATTCTACTCAGCGTTAAAACCACCATGCCATGTTATAGTGTCCTTAGTGCTTTTTGTGGAATTGCAGGGAACTACAGATCAGAGCTTTAGCACTTACACAAGCAGCGCCTCAACTTTTACACGTGAAAAGACATCTACAACGTCATCGAGTTTAACAGCTACAACACCAGGTAAAGTATACAGGCTTGTAGGAATGTGAAGTAACAAAACCGTCCGGCTACAGCATACTAGAGAAAAATTGACAACATTGCATGTTTAGGACATCATTTGTATACATGAATATAACATTTATAACATTTGGAATATAGCTTTGAAAAAATCTTACATATTCCTATGTGACGAGACTAACGGGTTAAAGTAACTCTTATGTAACTGAATATGTTTAATCATGGTTGGTGTTCTTTTACTAATTTTTCTAGTTTTCTATTAACAATGCCATCACCAGGTATCAAATTATAGAGGGTTATATATGTAGAGAGTCAACTTTACAATAAAGTATTTACGCTTCTTCCATTGTATACTGTATAGGAATGGAAGCCAGCACGCCTGTTTCTGTGAGTACTGTGAGCGGTTTGAGTACCCAGCAGACCCTGGTTGTGGTCGGCAGTGTTCTCGGGACGATGTTAGTGGGTCTGTCAGCTGCTCTCATCTTTACTGTCATGCGCAACCGTCAAAAGAGGTAAGAACCTATGCAAATAAGGGGGGAGGGGGTACGAGAGATAGGAAGAATGAAGGATGGAGGAAAGAAGGAAAAAGAATAAAGAATATAAGTTTTAAAAAAGAAAACTCGGGAAAATAGAACCAATTCTAATTTATTAAAAGATAGCCATGGAAAATTTGGACATTTTTCAATGCAAGCTGACTAACGAGTTATACTAAACAGTGATACTTGGGGTAAATGTTAACGAAAAAAGCAGCAACAACTGAAAACTGAGTATGTATTCACTCATTTTCCGGATACGTATTTATGATGGACATGTATTTGACATATTTAAACTAGACAACTCAATTATGATTTTCAGTTAGTTTAGTGAACTCTAAAATCAAGTTGCTACTATCATTATATTGACGTTGCATTCATTTTATCAAAACAGGAGTAAATATTACTTTTATACTTATACATGTATTATCGACAAATAAGATTAAGCTCGAATATAAAACTATATCTATCTTACTAGAAATTTCTAATTGAATCACTAACTGTAGATCGCTAAATATTACAGTTGAACTATTGAACGTTTAACTATTTTAGCGTATTTACAGGGTATTGGTTTCCCTACAGAGCATCAAGCGGGCTGTGTTTTATTTGTATGGCACAGATAGTGGTAAGAAGTTAAAGTTCTGATTTGCTTTACTGTTACATATAGAATATCTTTACAGAATGACGATCAGAAACAGCCAAATGTCCGTCGTGAGTCAGCGTTAGTCCCGTTGGCAAGTACAGTCCGTGTTCCTCCCGTGTCAGCACGTGCCTGATAAACGTGCCGTCCCGACTGAACAGGGAAACACGATGGTTGTTCGCGTCAGCCACGATGATGTTGTCCTCGCTGTCCGCGATGACACAGAAGGGGTGGTGCAGCAGACCAGGTCCCGAGCCACGTGACCCGCACGTGAAGAGATGACGACCGGCGGGGTCGAATATCTTCAGGTTGTCGTTGTCAAAGTCACTGATGATGATCTGGTTCCTGCTGTTGACGGTCACACGGAGGCTGGAACTCAACTGCTGCTGACCTTGACCTTTGTCCCCGAACTTCAGAATAACGTCACCACTGGGGCTGAGTACAAACACTTGGTACCCGATAGTGACGATGATACGCCCCAAACCGTCAACAGCGATACCTTTTGTAGTTTTATTTTTCTCTTCAGCACCCGTCACTTGGATGACACGTGACTCCCTCCCCTGTTTGTCCAGTACGTGAATCCTGTGTCCGTCTCCTGTCACCAACAGATCATTGTTTTGCAGCACTGCAACGCACTCTGGCTTGAACCTCAAATCGACCTTCTTCTTAAAGGAGACATCTTTGTCAAGAAATTGCAGACATTGGTTGTTAGAATAAATCACTACAATGCCTCCATCTGCGGTGACAGCAAGTGATAAAGGGCAGTCTAACTTTCCGTCTCCCCTTCCCCTGTCTTCATTTCCAACGGTTTTTAACAGTTTAGGCCTGCACGTACCGATCGCCACGTTAGTCCGAACTGGTGACAGTGTGTTTGACAACGACGCTGTTGTTTGTTTTATCCCACCTAACAGTTTTGAAACATCCTGCTCTAGGGCAACAGACGGAGGGTCAAATGCCAAGTTCATGAACCCCTTGGTCAGTTCAGCCCTCTCGGTGACCTTCTTGTCTGCGGTTTGCTCCATCCGTGCGGTCAGTTCTCCGGCCACCGACATGACCTCCCCCGGACTGCCGTACTCCAACACATTGTCCGTGAACTGGATACAGCTCCTGGCTGAGGCCAGGTCCATCTCAGCTTCCTCCATGGCGGCGTCCATCTGTTTCTCCCGAGCAGCATTCATGGCGCGAAGCTGGCGGATTTTGTCGTTTTTCACCTTCTGAACGGCCTCCATGATCGCCTCTGCCTGTTTTTCCAGCTGTTCTTCTGTACGCCGTACCTGTAAGGGCCAGTCGCCCTTTACTGACTGCAGCTCTTCTATCCACTTCTCATGCAGGCCTGCTGTGGTCTGGACTGTTGGCAGTTTGTCCTTGAACTTTGCTCTCTCCCTCTCGGCCGCCTTCTCTATCTCCACATACTGGTGATCTTTGTGCGCCGTTACCACACAGTGCAGACAGATGACCCGATGACAGGTGTCACAGTAGAACTTGTTCAGTTCATTGTGAGCCTCACACTTGGAGGTCTCCCTTGCCCGGAGCTCGGCGGCAAGTCGGCCTGATTGCAGGTCTTGAATGGTTACAGCTTTGTGTGACTTACTGACCTTGAGCCCACGGTGCGTGTCGTTACACCTCTGACACAGGTAGTCGGTACACTCCATACAGTAGAACTCGGCAGGGTTACCTCTGTCACAGGCCGTACAGGGGACTCCCTCCTCCCGTGGTTCCGATGTTTCCCCTTTTCCTTTCGGCTGTTTTTGCAGAATGTCGTGCAGTTTGCCGACGAGGAAGTTGGACTTGAGCCCTTGGACGCCATTTTGTGGGAGGGGCACGTCCTGTCGGCAGGTCGGACAGGAGAGTTTTCCCACTCTGGCCAGGAGCCTCTCCAAACACGGCTGGCAGAAGGTGTGAAGACACGGCAGCACCTTAGGCTGCTTGAAGTCCTCCAAACAGATCTGACAGACCAGAAATTCCTCCGTTATTTCGCTGAATGCGCTGGACGCCATTTTTACTCTTATGTGTTGAACGTACCCACCGAAACTAAGGGAACAAAAGATCAAACTGCGTCATTGGACCTTCCCATCTTTCGCGTTCAGGGGGTGGTTGTACGGGGTCTAGCTGTTACCCTAAGTTAGAATAATCTGTAATCCGATGTTGCAGTTTGATTATGTATGGAATATCTATGAATACATTGTATAATAGAGTCTGTAATAACTATTGTTATGAACTAAGCTTCCGTGCCAATAAAATAAACATTATTGACTGTTACCTTGTGGCGTCATATAGAATGATTCATTCTTGACGTTTAAGTTAAGGGGTGGGGCTGGTAGTACAAGCTGAAGCAAGAATAAAGCAAAATTCATACTAGAAGTGAGCTACAAATCTTGTCTAATTGAAGGGAATGTGCACTTTTAAGGTGATAAGAATATTAACCAAAAGAACAAAGCTAATTCAATAGAAAAGCGGATGCCCACGGCTGGCAGCACTGATACCTTGCTGATTCAATTACCTTTCTGAAATATTTGCGAGATTATTTACTTTTTTTTTCAATTTTTGCTATTATTGATGCGTCAAAGATCATTCTTTTTTATCCATTCAGCCATGATCTGAGAAGTATCATCGAGCAAAACGGAGAAGTTGCAATGGATGACATAAGTGACGAGAAACTAGGCGGGTAAGTTTGTAACGTACAATCTTTATTATTATAATCATATTTACTGTTCACAGGGATATACCACATACATACAATTTGAACATAAAAATGTTTTTAAAAATTCATTATATATAGCTTTTCAACTAATTTTATGAGATTACATTAAATAGTAGTGTATATATTATTATCTTTATAATAGCCAGAATTGATATTCTTATTCAAAATCTCTTTTTAACTCAGATTCCAGAATCCGTCATATGGGATTCTACAGGTGACCATAAGGTAAGGTAATTATCCGTTGTTATATGTTAATTGTGGTTTATAACTTTCATGTTTAACATTTTGTAGCCATTTTTGTCTGTACTTCACTATTTGAAAGAAATTATAATTACCTTTTGATTTTGTATTTCAGAAACGATGTCAGCGACATCTAGCGGTTTTTATGATCCCTCGTCACCCTTCATCATCGATCAACGATTGGGAAAAAGTACCATAGATGGACAAAAGGATGAAAACGTTTCATGGTTGGGGTTTAAATGATCGTACTGTATTTAAAAACTGAGAATATCCATAAAATGTTTTTTTTTTAAATTTAACATGTATTAAATTAAAAATAACCCTTAACATGCAAATAGCAATATGTTTTGACCTTGAAATAGTATCCCTTGTCCTTCAAACTATGGGACTTTATTTAGGTCTATGTAGTAGCCCTCCCTTGAAATTTCCTTGTAGCATCAAAACTGGACTTGCAATAGGACGCAACCTTCCATGTGTAAATGTAATAGGTTACACCATGTAAGGGCATGTGTTTGAAAGAAAAATATACGTTTGGCCACAAACTTCATGTTTTAATCGCTAATGTATCATACTTGGACAGGGTTTCTTGACCAATGTCAGCCAGTTGTTGTAGATAACATTTTCACAGTTGGTTAACCGGTGTAGAATATACTGCAGTAACCTGTACGTCACCGAACTGTTGACCCGGAACGGTTGAAAGACGACACCAAAAAGTCGTCAGACGACCCGGGTGTATGTAACGTTACATGTCCTGACTCAACAAACAAGACGAACACTGTGGGGAAAATGACGTTCTTTAACCACCTGTTAGCTGTGTTTGGGACGCTTCTGGTGCTGGCTGAATCGTCAAGGGGCGCAGGTAAGGAATCTTGGGCAACCGAGGGTTAAAATTAATAGTCAAAACTAAAGCGGCCACGTCAAAAGAAAGTGTTAGAAGTTCAAACTACACGTACAACAGGTCTGTGGGATTTAATACAAACAGTGTAAGTTAGATGAAGGTTACGTTACATTTTGCCATTTACAAAACGTTAACACTGTAGACACGCACTAGAATCTACAATAGTCACACTGATACAGAATCGTCAGACTTAGAACTGTTCAAGCTTTGACCGTGAGAGAAAGGTAAACAAGTCTGGGCGACACCATTTTCCCTTACGGCTATTTCGCTACAGGTAATTAGATCTCAATCTGAGTCAAACACTCCACCAGTATGTCAACAAACTTCTCTACTTTAGCTAACGACAAAGAACAAGAAGAACTTGATTTTTATAGTCCATGTTAAGGTTTTGCTTTACCCACTATTTAGGCCAAAGTGTTTCAATTTTTCAAAATGTGTGGTGGCTTTCATTAACACACACAAGGTGTGTTTATGCTTGACGTAAGAAAAATACATAGCATGTTTACGTAACCAGTCCCGCGTTTTTAACACATCATTCAGTCTAGTCTGTTAACTGTACAAAACCCAGTGCTCGGAGACTTTCAAAGCTGAAATAGTTGTGAGACGTTGTACAGTGTTATAAGTAGGAGTACAATAGATATCTACACATTACAGGTATCATGTACTAAGGTAAGAGCGCGGCGGCCTTCCCCGGTAAAATAACACACTGGTATATATAGAATCACATCAACAAAAGAGAATAACAAAATGCCAGTTGCAACTGACGTATGCAATGTTCTGACGAATGTGTTTAGTCTTAAAGGTGTGAATGCGAACGTATCTTTGGGTGTGTGCTGTTGCATGGCGAACTTGGCAAACATACTTTCCACTTGAGTTAGCTTGAAAACAACAGGACTGAAAAGAGTCATGATTTACTAGACTCCATTACTGTTGACTTTATCAAAGTGGGAGATGAAGTTGCTAGATAACTCCTCCCTTGGTTGGAAAACTTCTGAAATAATTTGTCAAATTTGGGCAAATATCTTCCTTCAACAGAATATGTCTTATTGAGAATAAGTTTTAACGTCAGGTAGAGCAACTCTTAAGGGGTGCACCGGTGGGAGGGGGGCATGTACCCAAAATACGGTGAACTTGACAAAGGTTTAAGGCACAGAGAGACTTTGAATAAAGATTTCTGTGGGCCTAGTAGCAGCGGACGACGAGCAATGTTATAATTACGACCCTTACTGCGAAGTTAATTATACGTAACAATACAAGCCAATTAAGCTAGCCCCATTACTCTTTTATGTGTCGCGTTGACTATGCTCATATTTCTCACTCTATTTACAGCAACTCGTCTAGCTGACGGATGTAGCTGGTGTTTACGGATACTAGATACAATAAAACAACTAACAATATAATACAAGCATGCCAGTAGCCAGGATTTTACTTGGTGGGGAGGGGCAAGCTTTCTGCGGGGGGGGGGGAGGGGGTCCGGGGGCATGTCCATTAGAAAACTTGTTACAATTGAACCTTTTAAAATGCCACTTCCTGCATTTTGTAATGAAAACGACAAAGTGAGCAGTTTGTCATTGTAGTGTTTAGGGCTTGAAACCCCGATTTTTCAAAGTCAATATCATAGTACTATATGCTAAGTTGCAACAACACTGTCCTTAATGTATATCGACACTCATAAAACAAAGAATGCCGAAACTTGTGATGGAAAATGGTTACCACAGGATTCTAGTATTGTATTTTGGGGGTACAGAAATAATGAATGCAAATGTACTAATATTTACTGATTGTCTTATTCCGGATATTCCAGTTTTGTCACCCTGAAACTGCACTGGATGTCTTTAATTTTTTTGTTTTAGTGTAAAATCTGTTTATCTTCAGACTCGTTTCTCGACAAAAGCATCGTGCGGCCTGCCGAACTGGACGCGGTCGGGCTGAACGTGGTGGTCGGGGTGTCCGCCTGTGTGGGACTGTTCGTCGTCGGCGTGATGGCCGCCATCTTCTACCACCTCGTCATGAGGTCACGCAGGTAAAGTCACACTTTACTAAGGCAAAGTTCACCCTATCAGGTATACAGTACGATACAATCCATAAATTATTGTCATGTCCAACTACCATATTTGCCTACGTAGGCCAATTTCTGCACACTTTGTGTCATAAGCGAGACCATATCATCAATACATGACCATATTGTAATCCAATAGTAGTTTGTAGTATTAATTGTAAGTTACTAAGGTTCTGTAGTGTTGTTGTAGCTGCCACACATTGTACCATGTACGATTGTCGAGCAATAAAGTTCATTCATTCATGCTGACGCAGCACGTCGAAAGAACTTACTGCACCTACGCTAAGCCCATATTGTATTGTGCATAGCACTTCGACAGAACGTCTCATATAAGGTCTTTTTCGCGCACTGATTTTAGGATAACATCCCGTCTGTAGTTTCCAAATGTTGTGTCGGAAAAGCCATCGGCTGCAGCAGGCAAAATTCTGATGCAACGTTGACCAAAAATCCATTGAATACCGTGAAAAATCAGGGTTTTCGGCAGGCCCAATACGTCCTGCCTAATGCTTAGGTCACATTTCCAATCCGGGGCCCGGTCGGGCTGTTTGTATGAACGAAAAATTAAATTAGATATATAGATAGTGCCAATAATTGTTATCAACAACTTTTCCGTGCTTTGTTGTCTGTTATATCGTATATTTCGTTCCCCAAAACTGCCCGGCCGGGTCCCGTGTGGGAATTATGACCCCAGCATAACGCTATATACTAGTAGATAGAAATGAACTGCTCTACAGCGTCATTTAGCGGTATCAGTAAGAACTGCAGCATATTTGTTCAAAATGATGATTACACCCAAAATGTCAATAGGAGTTTCCTCTTTCCACTGTAGTGTTGCAGATATTGATGATCTATCAAAAGTACAATTTTAAGCTTGTTACAAAAGTACTAAATACTTCTATTTTTTTTCTTATTTCAGGAGTGAATTTCGTCTCCCCAGAACTCCGGAGCAGTAGCTGACTTCTGACATCACAGACGGATGAAGACAGGAAACAAGATACTAGTAGACGCCACTCTATTGCCTTTCAATTTTCCGTTTTATTATTACAAACAATGCAAATCAGTCGCACAGTCTATTGTTGTATGAGATCAGTTGAGACTTACCAGTCGAAAGTAAAATTTCAGTAATATTATAATTTCGCGTCACACTAAGCTTGTCGTTATCGTACAGACAATAGGTATACTAGTATTCAATGTCCTGCAAAATACTATGTAATACTATATATGTGCATTATGAAGAGGCAAGTTCAGAAATGTTTGAAAGCTTCGAATTCTTTCTTGTGACATGCCAAGTAGTGCATGACGGTCCATTGGGATAGAAATATTGCGAACATGGCTAAAATATTGTATTTTATATTTCCCCTACTATGTACGACAGGTGCAGGCTATGCTCCCTAGTATGTGAAAAATTACAGAGATTAATACACGAAAAATGATCATGTTTATTTTTTATATCTGGTTCTTGTTGAGTAAGTGGTTGTGAATAAAGAACTTCCCTATAATGCTATAGTGTTGCCTATAACATGGCAGGTCCTGTTTAAATGTTTGGTTATGTTCTCATGTGTACTCAACCTTTGACCCGGAACAAAAGAAGTGATTTCTTTAAACAAGTCAAACGACTTGTTCAGGCGGACTAGTGGTTAGAAACAGGTGTAACAAAAATGGCCACACTAAAGCACGTACTAGCCGTGCTAGGGACTATTCTGGCTTGGCCTGGAGTATCTCTGAGTCAAGGTAAGAGTACATTAGCTTCTGTTCTCTATCTATTTTCATTAGGTACCTTGTAGAGAAGCAATCCGCCATATTCGAATGAAAGCTCATCTGTATTCTTTGGTAGAATCCATAGTTAGTGTTGCAGAGTTTAAACTTTGTTCCCACACAAGAAAGGAACTCACCATAAATTTTCAGTCGATTTAGGACAAATGTTGACGAGATCGACATGAAATTTATGGTGAGTTCCCTTCTTGTGCTGGAACAAAGTTTGAAGTCTACGACAATCTGCCGTCTTGCTTACCATTTTGTATGAACAGTATTTTTCAAGGGGAGTGGCGTTGAGAAAATGGCCGCCAAATATATAGCACCGCACAAGTATAGCACCGCACAGCATTATTTCCATATTTTGGTTGAAAATACTCATGTCTATTGATGGTACTGTCAATCCAATCGTTAGAATCCTCTTCCATATCAATTGAATGGCGGAACCAGGTA